CTAGAAAAATGTATATTCTAAAGTGAATTAATAGAGAAAGATGAGCGGAGAACGTTTAACCTTACTTTGAATAAAACCTTACAAAAAGAGAGACAAGACTACGGTTAAAAATGTCAAAACTGAGGCAAGCTATATTAGACTTGTTATTAATAGAATAAATTATGCATACGATAAAATAATACAGATTTAATGTTTTGTAAGGTTTTGGTAAATCTCAATGTAGATTTCGTCAAGAACTGACATCAGTCAGAGAGTCACTGCATAGCAAAGATAAGAGGAGAGATGTTACCTCTTAGATTGACTATCTTCAGCAGTAGGACGTAAAGACATCATTACTCGGGATCGGGATGAGGACCTTCAGGTTACAAAGCTAGCCTGTTGACCACTCAGCCACTAAGTGAGAGGTTAGAATTTATCGGCCATTGGAATGTGACCTAATTCTTGAATGATTACCGACTTCGCCTTATAACCTGAAGAAACTAAGTAGCGCTACTTAACTGTCCCAATTAAAACGAAACCTTTGTCCATTGTTACTTTCTTTTCAATGATTCCTCTAACTGGTGTTGCTTAGTGACGAAACTTACACTGATACAAAAAGCAACCGCCAATACTACTCAGATCAGTAAAAAAAAAAACCCAAATTAATTATAGATATTATAACACGCGCACAAATCCTACCACTATTGATCTTATTTCAGTAACTTCTTGCTTTCGCAACCAGTCAAATATTATGGTAATCAAAAAATCGTGACAAAATTTACAGCTAAACCAGTAACTTTTATAAGAATTGAATATCAAGATGCGAGTAATACTTTCCACGTTATACACAAGCTAAAAGCTGTTAAAACAATTAAAGGCGAATGAAATCACTGTAATAAGCATTAATATTGTAAAACCAAGGCATTCTAAACGATGATCTACTATAACACAACAAAGTACAATATAAACAACAATGTTCTAACACTAACTACCTAATGAAAACACTGTTACCAACTACGGGAAGAGTAAAATCAGTGAGTTAAACTTAGTACCTGATTTACTGTGGCTTTTATAGTGCTTTTTTGTAGCTATGATTCAGGGAAAACCTTGTAAGAGACCATGCTTTGGATTACATTTTTATGTGGTCCAACATAAGACACTTGATCAATATATCTGAATATTGCGGTAGTTTTTATTTGCTCTATCCCCCTTTCGTTTGTATTGCAATAATAAGAATAATATACTTTTAATTATATGATAATAATGCCTTCCTTCCTATTTTCAAGTTACTTTTTGGTCGACGTACAGATATGCGATGTGGCATTATAGATCAATAATTTAGTAATGCTAGAGCCTCTATGCTGTCAATATCTGTCCGACTGACTGACTGATAGGAAATAAATTCACAATTCAGAAAATACGAGCTGATCAAAACTCTAACGATAAAACACCTCCTATTTGGCCTTTTCACTCTGCTAATAAATACGCCTTGACTTAAACAGATGACACTAGAGCTGAATGTAAACAACTAGCGCTGATGAGTCTCAGACTAGGGCGAAACAGTTGTCCAGTACTCCCAGGTTTTCCAATGCTTCTCTGACTGATGTCAGCTTATGATGAAACCCTCCAATCAATCAAACAAAATTAACACTTGAAAACTAAAACTAAAGGACTAATGATAACAATATCTAGGGAAAACATTGGTTTAAGCCGACATTTCTAGTTACTAGCATGAACCTCAATATTATTAGTCAGACAGTATCTAATGTAGGTGGTACCAATGATAGACAACTTAAAGATACACTCAAAACGCTTTGCTTTGGAGTCATAAATATCCAAAATCTCATTAATACTGACTGTAAAGTTTTGATCTTGCATCATTGAATGTTGTTCAGCTAGAGCATAGGGCAGAAGAAGATCACCCTGAAGTTAAAGTATCAAGTTATCACAATGCATACGATTTATAGGGTTAATCATAATTTATAACGAATTATTGAGATTTAGATGTAATAACAGTAATTCTGACTGACATTTAAAAAAATATATAATTACTTCTTGAAAAGAGGTATGACCGAAATATTTTAACACCTGTCACATATATATATATATATTTCATTGAAAAAATACAACTGAACCAAAAGTATTTTTTTGCTTCAAGTTCCCAGTGGAACATAGGGCTTCAAGCTGGTGGCTTGAAGTTTCTGTAGCAGTGTTTAATTTTACAGGATAGGGTTGCTAACCTCATGCCCAACCTTATCTCTTCACCAGCATTATATCTGGCTTAGTGAGGTAAAGGAGTACGTCGGCCGGGGATCGAACCCCGGACCAAAAGTATTTGATATATTAAAAAGAAACAATATAAGAACTCGGCTTGCTGAATATGAACTAAGAGACTAAAACACTCATTTTTAGCAGCATATAAATTAATAAAATCATATGCAATGATGATGTTACCATTTCACACTATGAAGTAGTTTTACTCATCACATAGCATAGACTAGAATTCACCATATTTTCAAAATAATTATTCAATTAAAAGTTTACTAAATACTATCATCACTCAACATTACGAAGACAATAATAATTGTCTGACAGACTCAGTGTAGAATAATTTATACACAAGCACAGATATCCAGTTGTCAATGTTTGCATGACATCTCCTCCTTCATTGTGAAAAATTTTTATACAACATCAATAATAATGAACGAATTTGTTAAAATTTACACCACACCATTTCGATTAAATTGCGTGCATACATCTCTCCTTTTTTTCTCTCAGTTATTCGAGTCCGTTGAAGAAAAACGCAAGTATGCAGCCTAACAATCGGTATAGTTGATGCATTACAGAAAAAAGAGGCTTACTCATGGAACAGATACTTGAGACTGTAAAACTACTTGTGGGGGATTTACAGTGATAAGTTGTTGCGCATTCAACACATATTACTACAGGAACATCTATTTTTGCTCCGGAAATGAAGCAGGCGGATTGTCAACTTTTTTAATTGTTCTCTCCAATTGAAACTCATAATAAAAGCAATAATAATAGTAATAACTATAGATAATTAACTAAATACGACAGATATACTTTGAGTGTATAATTCTCTAATAATTCCGACCATAATCTGATGCATTTATTTCAAAGTAAACTCGTAAAATGGTTTACAATTAATTCAGCTGAATACAAATAATTATATATTATATCCCTGTCATACTTATTTCATTGAACACGAATCAATTTTTTTGTACTTTATTATCATTAATGTTGTAGGTTAAATTAATGACCTTAAATTTCATTTCAATTTTTCTCTGTACAATTAAATCATGATGACCGTTTGACTAAACACAACCTCTGGTATGTTTAGAATTTTTTTAAAATTTACATATGTTAACGAATGTTCACATACAAGTGACACAAAGTCATGAACACAGGACTATTCATCAGAGACTTAGATGTTGGATAATTTCTGAAAGATATGGAGTACCTAAGCAGATATAAAATAAAAAAGAGACTTAAAAGAAATACAATGAGTAGAAATGTACAGTAGAAAGAACGGTAATACGGAAAATCATGAATATTGATACATCCGAACTGATGAGAGAGATTTGAAGTCAAATCTCCAATAATCTCTAGTTAACGGTTCTTAGTATGCTGAGGACACTCACAAAGCAGTGTACACCCCCTTACATGGCTCAAAACAACTGTCAAAAATTTCATAGACTGATGTCCGGTTTTGGTTTGATCACACTTAACTCTATTCCAACCTAATCCTATGTAAGGCTAGAATTAGTCATCGAGAAAAGCAGCAGCTAAACAGGCCCAACATAAGTCCTAGTCATCTTAATAGATTCAACTTCTCAACCTCATCAATTGACTTGGCCTTCTTACCTGGCACTCTACACTCAACCTAGATATTACTCACCATATAATACCACTTAACACATGAGACAGAACGCCGCTGTAGTCAAAAACATCTGACTTTCTAGTTTTAATGTCCATGTCTCACTCACCGCCATAAAGGAGGACAGAGAGAGATGTACTGCGCAGTACATGCATCCCTTGATCGACAGCCAGAGTCGTGTCTACGCCAGGGATGACGCAAGTTGGCAAATGCTACACGAGCCTTTTGTTTTCGTGCTGAAATTTCTTCAGTAACCAGTCCACTAGGCCTGATGCAGCTTCCCAAATAAGTGAAGTAGTCAACACGCTCTACCACTTCACTTCCTATCTTTCAGAATCATCTTGCATGCCAAACGCTCGAAGATTTCTGCTCTATCTGTTCAGAAGACTCTGAATTCTGTCAGTCTTCTCAACTAGAAGGACAATATCATCCGCATACACTTTGTCGACAAGACTGTCCCCTAGTGGCAAGTCAATCTTTAAATCGCTTAAGTCAGATAGGTTGAATTCCATTAGGGCATCTATGATGAAATTGAACGAAAACAAGGACAATGGGCATCCCTGACGGACTATACCAGTTGTAACCGCTTCAGATGACAGCTCTTCTTAAGTTTCTATACGGCTACATGAGTTCAAGTAGACTGTCTTGATTAGTGTGATGAAGCTTCTCGGCGCTAATGCAAGCATAATAAGCCTAGGAAAAGTTGTAAAATGCAAACTGCAGTATAACGCTAAACATATTTCTTTAAAAATGGACTTGAAGACTCGGTTCATTCGTTTGAACATTTAGCTGTTGGCCAGCGGGTTTTGGCTCTGCCAACTTCGCCCTGGGCAACTGCATGGTATTATCAGCTCTCATGTAATATGTTTGGACTATAACGCAGTATATGAAAGGCCTGTTTCGGGCATATGGGTTCAAGAATTCATTTACAAACCAAAGTTTGGAATGGTAAAATGGTGATGTGAATACAATAATACAAAGAAAACTGACTTATAAACTAAACAAAATTTCTAACCTATTAGTACAAAAATGACATTTGACAGAACACAAATACTTTTATCAACTTTGATGTAAAATAATGGAAGACATTGTACATTAATACACTAAAATGTTGTTTTATTACCTTTAACCTTTCAGATGATGTCCTTTTCAAGAAATTCCGAGGTCCTAAAGTCAATGAATGACTGAAATTGGAAAATTTGGACTGATTACTAGATTTTCCTGAATGTTGAGAAATCTGGGTACTGGAATCCTCAGACACATCGTACGTCTGTGATTTTACCTTCAGTGGATTCAATGAGACTTTGGCTAATTCTGTAACGGCGATTTCATCAGCCATATCTGCAGAATATGCTGTTTCTAAAATACTAAGTCCCATTGTTTCTAGAAGCTAAAAAATGAAAGCAAAGATAAACAGAAATGAAAATCTGACATCTCCACAAATCTCCCATACAGCTGAAATAGAATGTAACTTGAGTAATAAATGAGTTGAAAAACAACGCGGGAGTACGGGTTTTACATTTACAAAACTAAGATACTTAACTTATTAATTCTGAATTTGATCATTACTTTTAAATCCTCTAATACATGCTGAAGTAGTATAACTTTCGTCTACCCTATAACACTACATCGAAGGCTGGACAACCTACCTTCTTTTTTCGACAAGCTTACAGAATCAGTAAGTGATCAATATTAGAATTGAGGGGGGTGTGGGAAAATATTTGCATAAAATTGCATGGAAATAAAAGAACCCTGAGTCATGTATATAAGCAAAAACTAAGGATTAGTAGTGTGACAAGTAATAATCCAAGCCTGTCACTCGAGTTGGTTAAACATGTTAGAAACATATTATGAATACTACAAAACTAGATTACATTTTCATATGCAAAATAATTCAACTAAAAGGGAACCCGGTTAACAAATATATATAGAATTGGTCAGAAAAACAAACATAGTAGGGAGGTGAATTCACCGGCAACAGAAAAAGAATAGTTTTGACTATATTCAAAGTAGAAAACCTTGTGAAAAGGTCCAAGAAAACACAGTAATTAAGAAATAGAAGTCAAGAAAGTGTTGAGACTAAATTACCACAGTTTTCGTCGAGAGCGAGCACGATATATATATATACACTAATCAAACACAACCCGGTCGACAACTGCTACCCTGTCGTGGTGGTCGGGCTTGAATATCGTAATGACCCAAATGACTGGGACTCTGTGCCTGCAAAGCCTACCACGTCTGGAAGGTTTTTGGATAGCGGTTAAACTAAAAGCAGTTACCATGGCCTCCAGTATCCAATCAGATCAAAAGGCGTATGAACCCATATGGGTCATCGGAAACCATGGGAATGTAGCTCCTGACGCTGCTCCGCAGCCTTGTGGATTAGACTCCAAGTCAAAGGCTCGGGGGTGGTCCCTTAAAAAAACCACCTGCTTAGGTCTAGGCGCCTGGGCAGTATATCTCAGCCCTCACACAATGAATTGAAAAAAGCAACAAACAATCAATGAAACTTATCGCGTGCTATTACACGTGTTGCAATTTCCTTCTTTCTTCCCTTCCCGATGATAGTTAACGAATATTGTTTGAACTTGTTAAGCATGACTGTTTTCCTCCCAGATGAAGTTCTTTATCTGTTCTCTACTTATATATACATATATATATATATTTCTCTTCGTTCTTTTTTTCTTTTGATTTATGTTGTTTTATTATTATTGTGTGGCGCATCCTTCTTGGTGCCATAGTGTACCAAGTTTTTATGCGTTTAAATAAAATAATAATCAAACACAACTCTTCTTCACCTCACAATGTCACGAAATTGGTTGACTAACCCAACTGCTTTTCCCAGCGAGTTCCAGTAACACCACATAGTGGACTAAACGGAAGCCATCGAGATAAATATATCTGGCTATATCATGTACCTCAAAGACACTGTTAATTTTACATGGAATGTAGTGTACTCTACCTCGAAAACTTAAACATGAAATAAATGTCAACGACTGGCAGATTTAAAGGAACACTGTATAGCAGTGTAGTTGAGAATATAGTGCAACTGTAAATTCACTAACCTGTCTTATAATGAAGGAGGCTACATCTTTTGATTCCCAGTAACTGGCATGTAAAATTGGCGGTAATGCACGAGCCAAGATATTTTGAATTGCTTCTGGACAATGGACACTGTAGTCAACTCTTTTAGGGCCCCACCAGGATTGTCGTACTTAAAATTCGAAAAATGAAAGGAACAAAACTTAAGCAGAGTACACTGGCCTACAATTAAATAAAATCAAAATTACTTGTTCAAAAGTTGAAATTCACTTTATGAATTATATTTCACAGACTTTTGCAATGTGTTATAGCAAACGTGTTTACAGTTACAAATGATGTTGATGTTCAGGTTAACAGAAAGAAGTTGGCAATGGTGTTTTTTTCCTTCACGTTCCCAGTGGAACATAGGGCTTCAAACTAATGGCTTGAAGTTTCTGTAGCAGTGTTTATTTTACAGGATGGGGTTGCTAGCCTCATGCCCAACCTTTCCTCTCTACCAGGATTATTTCTGGCTTAGCGAGGTAAAGGAGTGCGTCTGTGGCCGGGGATCGAACCCGGGACCATGTGCATAGTCGGCGAGCGTAATTCACACCATGATACACCCATTGACTGGGTATTGATTTTCAGGAGAACCAAACACATGCATCCATGCCTCTTGCGAGACGAGAACGGCATTCAGGATCATCCTGTGGCGCAACCACTCGAGAGCCCTTTCGCTCGGTGGACCATGGCAATGGTGTACTTCTATATAAAAGGTAGCGGCTGAGTTTAGTACAATAAATGCTTTAACGAAAGTATATTATTAAGTACGAACAAATAGAAAAACAGAGGCTAAATTTGTTAAATGACTAACAATGTATGTATGCATGTATGATTTATCACTATCTTCAGAAATCACTCGAAAGAAACTACCTGAATATACTTGACGATAAAGGAGTAACAGATGAAACTAATTTTGGAAGGCATATATATTAAACGGGATATATGTATATATATACATACATTGTAAAAGATAACTGGAATGCATGAATATGGTACGACAGGGTTGCCTAGACAAAATTCTTGAACCCAGCTAATAAGTAAAACAATTAAAAAGATTAGAGCCAGTAGGATAACCGTACCATTAATACTAATAGATGTGGGTGCAGAAACTACAAGCTCTTCAACAATTACACAGTTTCCATAGATGAATCGTGGAAATACCACGTCACCTTAAGCAAAAATTAGTCCATTCAAGTTACTGAACCACGTTTCAAAGCCATATTTTTTAACCCTAACAAAACAGACGGTGCTGTAAAATATGCTGAAATCGAAATGTAATCCTGAAAATACAGGTTTAAAATAGGCAGTGCTGATTTTCTCCACTTATATATCAACTTTTTATAAGCAGTATGAATTTATTTTAATCGAAGCACTGAGGATACTGCCACGGTCCGGGTTTCGATCCCCTGCCGACGTACACCCGATATCAATGGTCGACCCGCAAAATTCGGGCTACCGATATCACAGGCTGAAAATTTCATAGTTGTATCAAAAATACGGCGTGGAATCAAGCTATAATCAAAAAAATAAAAATGTAACATTTAAAAAAAAATAATATATGAGATGTTTGGAGGCAATCAGAGGGGAATGTTGACCGACCCTAGGTCATATGCTTGTTAGCCTTTACCAGCAATTCGCATCTGCTGCCACTACGAAATTAATATCCTCTAAGAGATTCCAACCTAAGTGGCATTGTGGTGAAGTTAGCGACATCAAACATAATGTGTTCAATTCTCGAATGGCCTTCAGTAGTGAGTAGACTTATTAGCCACTAGACTTTAGTTCCAAATGAATTCAGACAGATACCTTTCAATATTTCAATAAATCGATCAATATAAACCATTCATTTAATAAACACAGTCTTCCTAGATATCTACTATCATACATTAGAATTTTTTTTTATTACAGCTTGATTCCACACAGTACTTTTTGGTGCAAGTATGGAATTTTCAGCCTGTGATATTGGTAGCCCAAATTTTGCAGGGTGACCATAGATATTAGGTGTGCGTCAGCAGGGGATCGAACCTCGGACCATGTGCATGGTAAGCGAGAGTCTTAACCACTGTGCCACCGACGTACAGCATCAACTTTTTCCTTCCGGAACTCCTCACTTCAAAAAAATTTCAAATAGAGTATTCTCCACACATTTCCGCTATCTTATTAACAAAAATCAGAGTAAAGCAATAATCAGCTTTGTTGTAAGTCTCATGATTGTATTTAAATTTGCTAAGCAAATGTCCAATGACAGTGTTGCTATTCAAGAGTCGGGTACTATTTGAATTGATAAATTAAAACCGTTAATACTAACTGAAAGCTGTCCTATTTAAGTAATGTTTAAAAAGAATGTAAATAACAATTTAAAAAAAAAAAACCTTTCTTCAAAGTCTCTAATGCTATAAAAGACTTTTTTTCCCAATTTAATTTCTGATCTTTCTGTTGTAATTTAACCGGAGAAATGCTGTCATTAATCTCAGAATTTATTGAATCACTAGGACTTTCAGTGAGATTAAAGTATTTCGATGAATAATTTGGAGAGAATAATTCAGCTTGTTGGACAAGAGTTTCAATTAGATTTGTTGACTGACCATCACCAAGTGGATAACGTATATACTGGGGTATAAATATCGGCGATATATGAGTAAAACGATTATCCAATAATGGTTCAATACGGAAACCACATGGATCAGTTAAATGGAAGAGATTATACGCTTGATCCACAATCAATCTGAATTCTGATCAATGAAGAGAGAGAGAGAGAGAGAAAAAAAAAAACAAGTTGTGGAAAAAACACTACAACAAATTATTATATAAGGAACAAAAAATTTACACGAAAAATTGTGTACTTTAAACTTTAACTGAAGCGTAAACAAGAGTTTAAAAGAGTCAAATTTCATAGTGAAAAAAGAGATTAGATATTTAATACATTTATTATTTTTTTTAAATCTACTGAAGTCGAAGTGCTACTCAACTGATTAACCATTGTAAAACAAAATTAACCTCATTTCAGTGCACTTAAAAGTGTGTTTCATGAGGAAGCAACAAAAAACAAACGGATGAATGAAGCACATTGAAGTGCTTTGAAGTATACAAAAAACAACAACAATAACAACAACAGATACTAATGTTAGTTAGTATGAAAACGTGTTAACAAGTTTAAAAAAAAAGGAATTGTATACTATGCCTATACTAGTGTATATGAAGTTAAATTACACGATCAACAAGTGCTTTCCTTCAGGTTGATAGTAAAAAATAAGCTTATCATTTAAGTAAATGTACTATGCAGGTCAACAATTGTGAAGGAACTTTGTAGACAGTTTAATCTGACTACTAATAAAGTGATGGTATGTTAAATGATTCAGCGGCTGAAATTAATCTGGGAAATTAAATTTACAAAATGCCAAAATCATTTCAATAGATTGCCTCAGTAAGTGAAAATAACGTGCTTTTTGATGTTATTGAGTTTTCGGTGCTGCATGATTTACATCTTCGGTTCTAATGTCTAACAACTCGACATTTAATCTCTTTACTGCTGACATCTTAATTTCAACAGATTTAGACACAATGAGCAAATCAACAAGTAGAGTACACTTGTATATTTTGCTAGCTTTCCGAAATATCTTCTTAAGTACAGAAATTGTTTTTCAAAGAAACTACCTCCAAAGATGATGAAGCTTTGTACTTCAGTAAACTGATCAGATGGTTCATAATGCATGAAGAAGTCTCAAAACAGCAGCAAGCTGTTACAAAAAACACTTATTTAGAAAACCCAACGTTTCCATTTATACTGTTTGAAAGATTTTATAGTTTTTTTTGTCTTTGAGTGTCAACACTTTGTTATTCTAAATGAAAGACGATAATAAAACTTTTTGAGTAATGTAATCAGACTGAAACGACAACTACACTTTGTTAAAAATGATTAAGCATTCAATCAAGTCCGTTTCAAACGCACCTCGGTTGTCTGAATTAAGATCATGTGTAACTCCGCTTCAAACACAACCTTAATAAGCACAATTTTAATTTCAGAACATAAACACCCACCAATTTTTAATTTTTCGCGTTGACCGACAAGTAAACACATGAGTAAATTGGAATCAATGAATGCATTCGCATTAAATTATATGGTTATTTTTTTTCTAACATGGTACTAGCATCCATTGGTGAGACCAACTTGCGTAGTACTACAACTCGTATTGGCCATGCTGAAGACATGAAAAGGTTGACTGTTTTTTATCATACATGTCTACGATCTCTTTCTCACGTTAGGTGGTTTCACAAGGTAAGTAATGTTGACGTTAGGCGTAGAGTGTTGGGCAAACAGGGGAAATCAATCGACGAGGCTATAAAGTTACATAGACTGAGATGGTTAGGTCACGTGCTGCGCATGCCTAACCATCGCCTCCCCCGATGAGCATTACTAGCTGATATAGGTGCAGGTTGGAAAAGAGTAAGTGGTGACCAAACAAAAACATGGCATCAAGCCATGAAATCCTTGACAGTTAAACTGAGTGAGTCAGGTAGGGAGATGCAGACTTCCGGGTTGGGGCCCTCGGGACTCTAGGAATCAATGGCTGGAGACAATAGGTGACATGGCTCGAAATCGTTGTCAATGGCCAGCGCGGATGTATTCAGTCTCTGTAATCTTTCATATTTCTTTCTACCATTACCCATTCTGTTTCACTCTTATACTTGTCAGACTGTATTGATTCTCTTCACTCATCTTCTTGTCTACCTCTGTGTGCTATTTGGAACGTGGCAACTCGAAGTGCTGCACTTCGGTGCCAAGTTCTATGTTGAATCCAGACAGACAGTACTACAAGAACAAGCAATATCCCAGATTCTTATATCAATGATCGCATAGATAAAGACTAAACAACTAAGTAGGATCTAATGGTCTGTGCAAGATAATTTATAAGAAGCAGATAATGTGCATTTAGAGAATTCAATAAAAAGGCATACTACCTTTACGAACTACACCCTTCACCATATAAATATAAATCTCAAGTTTTACACATAAGCAACTGCTGAATAACATGTTGAGTTGACCCTCATCCAACGCGAAGAACCGAAAAACACCAAGAGTCGAAGTCCACAATTAACTATATATAAATCAACTAAAGAAACTATAAAGTAAATTAGAGCCAAAATATAAGAATTCGGCACATGGTATTTTCACAGTTAACAGATGAACATTGCAATATTTACCACGAAAGTGTCTAAAATATTTCTCTCTTAGATTTATTTACAAGCTAGTCAAGATGTCTTATTAGTTAATGAGGAAATATTTTGAACCTTTAGTGATGGTGTGGTGAGAGCTGTCTGCAAGCCAATTTACGTGAATGTTTTACTTCCCAAATCTTGGTGATGAGAAAAAAACAAGAACAAAGACTTTGCGTGGGCGGATATACGAGTAGCAGATATATGGTCTGATCATCAAAGAAACGGCCACAAAGAGATGACAGATTAACTTTCAGCGAGAAAACAACCAATCAGAAGACGCTATTTCTTTGCTAGTAATAACGAATAACAATGTACATAAAAATGTATATATATCGGTTAATTTTTTCAATAAACAATCTGTTGCCTGGCCATTGTCTTCTGTCGTTACAACGGGAACGAATCGATATCAATATGCAGTCATATGCTTTGGTTACTAGGAGGTAATCAAATAAAAATCAAGATGAACAGTTTACCTATATTTTTAATTTACCCTAGTTTAAAACCACGTATTTATGAAATGTATGTAAACCTCTCACTAATTTTATGCTGACAGTATTATACTACTTCTATCCGGTCAACAGTTTCAAGCAAAGTTTATGTTAGTTTTCCTACTTTCATGAGATCAAAATCTCCCGACCATCCACTTCAATGTCAGACATTGATAGAGAGGAGCTGATTTATATTCTTCTCCCATCGTAAAATAAACAAATGATGAGAAATATTCATTCAATTATAGTTAACAGAAAATACCTTGTGAAGAATGGTAAACAGCATTTGATGTATTGTTGGCTGATTGCCATGGTGTTAGACTTGGCAGTTGATTTTGTTGATGACGATAGGCCAAGATTAGACCAACTGGTGAACCCAACATGAAGAAATTTTGTACCTAGTTTTTTTATATTTATTCATTTTGTAGATATAAAGAAAACAAACCAAACAGAAAAGAAAATTATAAATATACAGTTCTGTACAACAGAACACAATTACCAGGTAATATATCAAATGACTATATATATATATATATATATATATATATATATATATATATATATATATATGCACAAAATACAGAAGCTGCTAGTTCGAATACCGTTGTGATCAAGTTTTTCGCTTTTATTTCAATTGGCAACTATTAAGTAATTATCAGTCTGTATAACGAAGGAAGCCTATCTCACACGATACGATAAACAAAATATAACAAAAAAGCGAGACGGTAGTCGAACAAATACTTTCATAGAAATGTCAACTAATATAAACAAATGTGTTCAGCACAATATGCAAGGTAGCAAACAGCCCTTAAGGACACAAACAACTGAGCTAAATTCCTTGTTTTTTAAATACCTAAATTACTAAGTGTACATACAATGTATGAATTTGCACTAAAGTGCAGCAGCAGTTCAAGTTGAATATGTTGACTACTTTCCTTAAACAGAAAGTTGCGTCAACCCTAATTGACTGACTAATGATGAAGTCTTAGCACGGATACAGAAATTTTGCCTGATATTTGTCAGCTTGTGTCAAGTTTACTGTCAGCGTGATATCTGATTATTTACCAAAGGATGTGTGTACTATGCAGTAGTCTGCATCGTCTTACTTAGCGCTTGTAGGCTATGACTGTTAAAGGCGTACGATATGAAAAGATCAGCAAATTTTCACCATAAGTGGTTCCTTAGGTGTTGCATTATGACCAGCCACAACGAGGTTAAGGGTAGATATAGCTAATCTGGCGTAGACGAGATATCCGACTATCGACCAAAGGGCGGGTGTACTGCTCATCAGTCCTCTCCGTCCTCCTTTATGGCTGTGAGACCTGGCCACTGAGAGTGGAAGACATGAAAAGATTAGCTATCTTTGATCATAGGTGCCTGTGTTCTATCTCCCGTGTGTAGTGGTATAATAAGGTGGCCAATATTGAGGTTAGGCGTCGAGTGCTAGATGTGGAGAAGAAATCAATCGACGAGTTTGTGAAGTTACATAGACTGAGATGGTTAGGACATGTGTTACGTATGCCTAGTCATCGCCTTCCTCGACGAACAATGTTAGCGGATTCATGATTATATCGGGAAAGAGATAGATGTGGTCATTTTCTAGACTGTTTGGTGACTGCAGAAAATTTACCTCCATAGCGCAAATTTATATATTTCATTTGACCTTCCAGGATCAGAAAATCTTCACTAATCTCCATCTTATTATTCATTCTTCCGTAAATCTTTGTCCACTGTCGACTAAACATGTTTCTTTTCTCTACTTCTGTGTGTGCTTATCCAAAGTATGATCATCTGAAGTGATTCAATTTCACCCAATCATAATTATTACGTTTAGTTCATTGAAGATGGATTAATAAGATAATGGATGAAACTGGCCTTATAGGAGGACTCTTTAAAAGGTTTTAAAACATTCAATCTACTCTTCTAATTCATTTATTTTTCGAATTATTTATTCCTGTGCCAATCTACCAGAGTAAAAACTTGCAAATTACTAGCAGATATTTTTAAAAAAAAATACGTAATCAGTGATGAACATTAACTATCACTGTGACGTGGCATTTGCCGCCTCCTGAAAGACAGTGAAATTTTTTTTTAAAAAAAAAACATCATTTCTCAAGAAAATAATACCTGAAAGTCTAAAGCATACATGCGACTGTATGATTCAGATTCTTGATCTCGATCCACAGACGGTGATACTTCAGTACCTTCTGAACTACTTTTTGAATCAGGCTTAAAAATAAATAAATAAATAAAAGTGTACGCGTGTCAGCTCACAGGTTTATTGATGTGAAATCAAAGCTCATTCAAATGACAGTGGTAAGAAGAAGAAAAATATTAGTAACAACAATAGAACCGTGTAAAAAAAAAAAGAAAACTACCTGCTCATTTGTTAGTAAGCAGAATTTTTAACCTAAAAAATGGAATATATATGTGAGATACACAATTGATTTGTATGTTTGTACGACACAGACTTTTTATTTTCCACTCTAAAAACAATTGTCGTGAATATCTGTGTATTTAGTTATCAGTGTCACATATATAAGTGATGTTACGATCAATACAAGTAACAAATAACTATTGGACAAATTCCGGTAAAGAATTAAACAAATATTTTTAAACAAGAGAACAAATCAGTTACAGATATCATAAACAAACTGTGATAGGCACAAGATATTTGAAAAGCTTAATACTTTCAAAGGAGAAGAAATAAAATGTCGAAAGAAAACAGCTAATCCAATCGAATTTCCATTGTCACAAAATACAATCACTGCTTTAATCAGTCAGCTGAGACACTGACATGTATCTTGAAATCAATCAAACTAATCGAATGCTCACCGGCGACTGACAACATGACGAAGTTGTCTGGAGTTTCAATGAGAAGTCATGACCAGTGGGGGTCTATGAAGTTCGTTATGAGGACAAATACTCACCGATGACAATTGGGTGGTGGGGTAACGCTATATTTCGCAAATTGGCACAAGTTAAGTTTCATGGGTGGCTAGATTCAATGCCCAGTGGCTTAATGATCAACATACTCGCCTCGTAACCTGAAGACCATGGGTTCAACCTACAGTGACGGTTATGGGGACATAATGCTGAAGAGTCCCAAACTAACAACGAAACAGCTCTTCAGTTCTCCTTTGTTTTCAATAGTCTTCTAACAGGTAGTCGTTCATGGTGAAATCTTACTTGAGAGCAATCTAATCTCAAACTCAGCAGTTTAACAGTAGACATCTAGAAAAATTACTGTCAAACTTGTATACAACTATGTAATGTGTTCATTAAAACTAGGAAACAATCGAAATGACTAATGAATTATGCAAATGATTGATTTAAATAAAAATCAAACTTTTATTATCAAGTATCGGTTTTGTATAGAGGATTTTATCATGAGCTGACATCAGTTAGAGAACTAATGGAAAACCTTGGAGTTAGAATTCAAGAACTATTGGATCGGGTTCCAGTGGCTCAATGGTCTACGAGCTAGCCTTGTAACCAGAAGGTCCTGGGTTTGAACCCCGGTGGATGCGTACCGCTGTAGAGTCCCAAACTAGGATGAAACATTTGTCCAGCACTTCCAGATTTTCCAGTGATTCTCTAACTGATATCAGTCCATGATGAGTTCGACAGGTAAATGTCTTCTACTAAAATGTACATTGTAAAAAAAAATTACAATGAATAAATAAACGAAAGCCTTGTAAAAATTCTGTTTAGAACTGCACTGTCAACCAAGCCTTCATTTTATCCTCAATTGATCACATATTGAATAAAAATCAATATTGAGTACGAATTTCCAGTAACCTTACAAGCATTATATATAATTTATCAATTATTGAAAAGAACATTATGATACATGAATTTATGGAGCATCTATTTTTCTTATCTCTAACAACACACTCACCTAGAAAACTTACAGGGCATAAGGTAACTTCACTGGGACTGTTTATAATGGTTAGACTTTCCACTTGCTTATCTGCTAGTTTCAATTTTTGAACAGTGAATTGATCACGGCAGCGTCTTACTCCAATATCCATCACACTAATATCATTGGTATTACTGTTGTTATTATTATCACGTGGTATTGTCAAATGATTTGTAACTGGTATGCTTAACAGATCATGTGCTAGTATTGCACCAACACTATCTGCTACAATACAAACAGTCCCTGAAAAACCGAATCCTTCAGGAGAACGCAGAAATTCAGCATAATGAGTGTTCAGATTAAATGTCAGTTGTTCTAACATCTGCAACCAAAAAAAAAAAAACATATGTATATATAAGTTAAAAATGCGACACTGTGAATAAAGCTTGAGGGAATTAAATAAAACAGAAAGTATGCCTTAGTTACGTTCATCACATAGTCAAACAATAATATTTACTAGGATATTTCCTTCGAAACAGATTGGTGCTCAGAGTTATATACGGTCAGAAAAATTCTGGGTTGCGTCATTACTGTAGGAAATTCTGTTTAGCACTAATTTATTATTTATTTATTTAAACGCATAAAAACTTGGTATAATATGGCACCAAGAAGGATGCGCCACACAATAATAATAAAACAACATAGATTAAAAGAAAGAAATATATAAGTAGAGAACAGATAAAGAACTTCATCTGGAAGGAAAACAGTCGTGCTTAACAAGTTCAAACAGTATTCGTTAACTATCATCAGGAAGGGAAGAAAGAAGGAAATTGCAACACGTTCACCATTGATTACGATTCTTGGCCATGCCCGATAACGTTTCGAGCCATCGATTTGAGCTATCTCTCGGACCCCAACCAGGGAGTCGTGACACAGCAACTAAAATATACACCTGCAACCTTGAAGGAATTGATATCTCCTACCAGATTCGAAAACATGTCACACCGAAATTCTACAAGTCTGAGACGTTACTACTGAGCGATTCCGGCTCACGATTCAACTCCTATAGTACTGTAATGATACTCATAATAAAGCGCTCATTGTCAAAATACTTTGTTAATGTTTAAATTTCGAAAAATAAAAACGTTTATAATCATGTCATGTATGATCCGAACATACGAGTAAAAAAAGTATAAATCAATGTCTTTTTTTAATACCAACGCTAATGGAATATAAAGCGGTAAAAACATGAAAATAAGATACAACTGGGTAAATTCATGATTTTTAAATTTACAGTAGGTTATTATAGAATGTGGCTTATAATAACAGAGTATGATATCACAGATATATAATGTATTGTTCACCTTAATGTACTACTGTACTGATAAAGTTCTACTTTCCAAAATATTGAAACAATATTTAGTTGGATGACCTGTTTTACAATAAAATTGTATACAGTAATGAAAAAATTAATTTTAAACTGTCATATATACATATATATGGCAGGCATAGTCTGCTTAATAGACACAACTCATCAGATATCACTAATGTACGGCTTCATTTCATTATCGATGTAATAAGACCAGTATTGACTTGCCGTTTAAATGAGATGAAATTAAATGAAGAGAAATTATGAAACAGTATAAGATACAATCAAAAGACAATAAAATACTACATGGATAACCTTCAAAAAATTTGGCTTAACACAGAAACTAAAACGTAAAAATTAAACGTTATACTAATAGAACTTTTGCCTAACTGACTGGTTTCAACGTAGAACTTTACACCGATGTGAACTAGTTCGAACTGCCACTCTCCCTCCATATAGCACACAAAGAAAGAGAAGAGAGAAAAGAGAGATTCAAAACAGAGATAATATACGAAAATTTAGGGCAAAAAGAATAGTAAAGTAATACGAAAGAACAATAGACTTTTACTGGATTTCATATATCACAAAAAGTGAATGCATCTGCACAAAAGCCATTGTGAACGATTTTCAGCCATATCACCGGTTCTCTCCAGCCTTCATTGGTTTTTACCATCCCGAGGACCCCAACCAGTCAGGAAGTTTACACTTCCCTACGTGGCTAGCTGGCAGGCTTGTTAAAATCTTTATTCAGAGCCATTCTAAGAAATTTCTATAATTTCGTTTCTTTCTGTATAACTAGCTCCACTGTAGCACAAAGTTTCCTTGTGCGTATGAAGTGGTATTTGCATTCACTAATTATTCAGTACTTGTGACAATATTTATGGCTTGGTGTACCTAACGAAAGAATCGGCTTGGCTTTCAATCCTAAACTTAAATATGACTTTATTTTATCAATTTCGAAATTTTGTGACTGTCCACCCATCATCTTTGTATTTAGTTTGTCCCTCTACACTTCAGTATGACCGACTACTGACTGGTTTCAACGTAGGACTTTGCACCGATGTGCAGGAGTTAGAGTTGCCACACTTCACTTAGCACAGGAAGGAAGAGAAGAGAGCAAAAAGAGATTAAAAACAGAGACAACAAACAGAAATATGAGGCAAAAAGAATAGTAATATGAAAGAACAGCAGAGTTTTACCGGATTTCATAAATCCCAGAGTGAATGGATATGCGCCAGTCATTGAGAACGATTTTGAGCCATATTACCAATTGTCTCCAGTCTTCATTGGTTCTTACCATCCCGAGGACCTCAAACAGCCAAACGTGACTGGCTGGCTCAAACTAGCTGTTGTGGATTTCATTGACTGATGAGGCCATGCTTTGGTTTGATCACCACTAGCTCCTTTCCAACCTGATCCATCCAATATCAGTCAGCTATCATTGCCCATTGTCGAGGAAGGCGATGGCTAGAGATGTGTGACGTATGTCCTAACTATCTCAAATCGGTGTAATTTTACAATCTCGTCAATTGATTTCCCCTCCTTACCTAGCACTCGACGCCTAACCTCAATATTACTCACTCTATTAATCCACCTGATACGGAAGAAAGAACGCAGACACCTATTGATCAACGACAGCTAGCCTTTTCATGTCTTCCACTTTCAATGGTCATGTCTAACAGTCAGAGATAGAGGAGTACGGAGCAAACTGTTCTGACCAGTATACACGCCCTTCGGTCGACAGCTGGAACTCACGTCTACGTACATTATAATAAATTCATGTGGTACTGTGGTTCATTGACTTTCATTCAACATGTCCTAGGTTTAAGTCCCGTTTCACCTACTTTAGCCTTGGCAACTAGATAGCATCATCAGCCTTGATATACAACTTACAGTCTGCAATATGTAAAGTAGGTCTCGGGTAACTGAGTTATATTATATCTTATCGGTAAAAAAAATTCATCATTTCGCTTTTCTTCGTATAATATGAAGAGAAGCTATTTTCCCACTATACGGTAGATAGGATATATATATATATATATATATATATATATATATATATATATATATATATATATATATATGTTTAGCTAAACCTTATATTACCTACGAAATTCACTACTACATAGCTTCAGTGAAATGGAATACAAAAAAGCATCAGGATATGTGTAACTTGAAATGAAAACAGTTGCACTAGTAAAGGGTATGTAGATTTGTATAAACCTTGGTGACTATATATTGAACTAATTGAACCAAACAGATGTAAAATATTGAGATAGCTACCACATTTTATGAACAATTTAATTTTTAAAAACTTACCTCATGCATAAGATCCTTAGCAAAACAAATTGATGTTGATTAGAAGAAGAAGTAGTAGTAGTAGTAGATAAGATAGGACTCCAGGTGAACATAGAGAAGACGGAAGTGACGAAGATAACCAACCAACAGCAACAACAAGCAGCACCAATCACCACCATCAAAGGGACAGATATGACAGAGGTTACTTCCTTCACTTATCTAGCAAAAACGGTTTCAACCACAGGTGGAACGAATAAAGATGATGACAAAAGCTAGCCAGAATCGGAAAGTCAAGATACATCTTCATCAACCTGAAACCATTTTGGAAATCTTGCGTTGTCATTCAGCATAAAGAACAAGATTCGAAGTGAAGTGAGTCAATCAGTTCTTCTATATGGGTCAGAAAACTGCACTGCGTAACAATTCTCTGTCTGTCTGTTTTCGACATAGAACTTTGCACAGATGTGCGACACTTCAAATCGCCACACTCCCTCCTTGTAACACACAAAGCAAGACAAGAAAGTACAAGAAGAGCATAATAGAGACAGTAAACAGAGGTGTGAGACAAAGGCAGAGTAATAACGAAGAAGAAAACAGTTTCATTGGAAATCATAAGTCACAAGGAGTGGATGCATCTGCGTTAGCCACTGAGAACGATTTTGAGCCATGTCACCAATTGTTTCCAACCATTGGTTTTTACCGTCCCGAGGACCCCAACCAGGAAGTCTACACCTTCCTGCGTGGTTAACTTAAACTAATCGTTGTAGATTTCATTGACTGTTGCCATGTTTTTGTTTGATCAGCGCTAGGTCTTTTCCAGCCTGACCCTATATCCGCTAACATTGCCCATTGTCGAGGAAGGCTATGACTAGGCATACGTAACACATGTCCTAACCATCTCAGTCTTTGTAACTTCACAACTTCGTCGATTGATTTCCCCTGTTTACTTGAGCAACACGTAAAGCATTTCCAACAGCCAGCTGAAGACTTTTATCAACAGCTGCCCCTTTTCTGGGTCCATCCTGAAGATCGAATGGCCAGTCAGAAAGAATTAGCAAAAAGAAACTCTGGTAACAAACCAACCAAGAGCCAATCACTCAACAATTATGCAGGAGAAAATGGAGATGGATTGCGCATAATCTGAGAAGGCAACCGAATGACATCACGCGCCAGGCTATCATTCGAGTCGAATCCGAATAGGAAGTGACCGTTGGGTCTTCAATGAGAGGGTAACATGGAGGAAATCGTATGGCGAGGAGGAGGGGATGAGAGAGGACATCAGAAAATAGGACAAAGTGTAGACGTGTCGTTGAAGCCCTATGTTTCACCTGGAACCTGACTGACAACTATTACTAGATGAGGTATTAATTATGGGTTTAGTTTAACTGTACAGCCGTTCACGGATGTGGGATATGGCCATCAGAAGTGTAGGATTTGAAGAGACTATCTGTCTTTGATCATAGGTTTTGAATTCTATATCTTGTGTTAAGTGGTGTCATATGATGCCTAATATTTAGGTTTGGAGTAGAATGCCAGGTAAGAAGGGTAAGAAAATCAATCAGATTGTGAAGCTGCATTGATTGAGATGGATAAGGCACATACTATGAATGCCAAGCTGCTCCCTTCTTCGCTGAGCAGTGTTAGCCGAAAACAGATTAGTCTAGAAAAGAAGTAGCGGTAGTCAAACAGAAACTTGGCAACGAACCAGAGAGTCTAGGCTTTTAACTTGAGTCACGTAGGGAAGCGCCAACTGTCTGTTTGAAGTCTTCGAGACGCTGGGAACGAATAGTAGACGACTGCAGGTTATAGGGCTGAAAATCTTTCTCAAAGGCACAGATGCATTCATTCTTTATGAACTTTCAGGTCTTTTAAATTCTCATTATTCTTCACGTGATTATTTCTCCCTCTTACAATTCCATTTACTACAGTTTCTTTGCATTTTCATTTGTTTTCTCGACCTTTATGTGTGCTCTATTAGGTGTAGCAGTAAGAAATACGGGACTTTTGTGTAAAGTTCCAAACTGAAGATTGAAGTCACTTCATCTAATTTCGTTATCACTAGCAGTATTCGCATTCAGGCAACGAAAATCATAATGTTGAAATTATAAACCATAGTTCAGAAAATAAACACTGTCACCAAAAACACGCAATGTATTGCGAAGTTTAACAAGAAATATGCAATTTTCTAAGAAGCCGAAATACCATGCGAAAAGCTGAAACTTAATTTCTTAGAAATGCTTTTTTTTACGTTCTAGGCTGTGAGCTACATTTATTTCGCCAAGGCTGATGAAACTGCTCGGTTATGCAGCCTGAAGTAGGTGTAGCAGGACTCGAACTCAAAAGTCATTGCTTGAAAGTGGAGTCCTCAAGTCCAATGAGTCATATCTCGTAAAAACCTCCAACTCAATCAACATACACCAGAGATCCCAAAGAAAACAGATGATTGTCTACGTATGAGATCAAAAACAAAACAGAAAATAGATCAAAGGAATATCTAATAAAAGGGTCCAGAAATATTTGAATGCGTTATGCTGTAATCAGAATACAAACTGCCATGTTTTGTAAACAGTTGGTGTTACAACAACTAGCTATATTGCTTTACCAAATCTCATTTAAATCAGTTGAACAACTATTAAGCTGGCTAAGAAAATCACTAGTAAAAGTGTCCACACTACTGCCAGTCTTTACACATTACAGAAAAAATTTTTTTAACAAGCATATACAACCTTAAATCAGACAGAAAACAAGCAGTATATACATACTTTCTGTGATCATGTAATCAGTTAGTTATGATTTTCATCGAAGCATAGAATACACATTTTACAGTATTGCTATTTAAAGGTTAGTCTCATTCAGACTGTGTATCTACACTCACACCCACATATGATGAATAGAAAACTGAAACAATGAAAAAATTTGTATGTATGAAACCGGGTTACTATGACTTCAGAATCAATGTAGGCGCGCTTGAATGAACAGAATGAAAGCGAAAAAGAATAAACAATAGGAACATAAAAAATAAATATCATAATAACACAAGACTGTGGAATGTTATGTAAAACAATATATGTATAGATATATATAGCGACTAAGTTATCCTCAGATATCGCACAATCTTGCCTGTATTCAGTAAAAGCAGTAAAGCAGTCTACTAGTGAGCAAAATTTAGAAGTGAAATGATTGATACAATAACCCGGAGGTAGTTTCTAGAGTCGGGAAATAAACATGTAGTAACCAGATAAAATATGTGGTTTTAAATTTGACACGTTATTTTGTAGACCTGCAAAGAAGCAATCTTTAACTTGGACACCCCATGATAACTTAATCGTTATCAATCATTTTGGCTGTCCTGTATGTTACAGAACTTGAAATGGAAATTGAAATTACACCACAGCAGTAGTTCTTTTAAGCGGTAGATCTGAAGACTGGTGTCTCAAAGTATTATCACTGGTATAATCACATAGAAAGCAACTAGTTTGAGTGAGAGAGACATTCACTTTGTCGAACCGCGAACCCTTCTGTTGTCTCTGTAATTATTACACAACTTTAATTTTCTGTCACAAGAATCCACTTTTGGGTGACTGTATTATTTATGTCACACTCCACTATTACTCAATAATACAGTGTGATGTGTTCTAGTGAATATAATTACGATTGTATAACACCTTAAAATAACTTCATCTATGTAATTCTTTCATTTCCTTTATGCCTGAATGGATATATATATGCGCACCTACATATGCAGACGAGTACGAATTATAGTTACTTGGTACAAAGCATGTTTTTTAAAAGTTACGACGTATATGAAAAACAATTTAGCTAAGAAAATAAAAGCCCATAAACATCTTTATAAAACTGATTCAGACAATACTAATTAAAACTTAAATATTTATTAGTTAATTGTCCCTGAGGGTAGTTAAGTTTGCTGAGGGTTAACTCTAGTCTTCCTTTCTCTAAGTGCTAACATGTGTCCACGCGTTCATAACTTATGCTATGTAATTCCTATTCACCGCCTTCAAGAGGTAGGGGGATTCTCAAAAAAGTGCAAAAGGAAAATGAGAATGTTAGGCGTTTATCACCTAACTAATGGACCCCGATTCCAAACCTATGATGAACATAATGCAAAATGATTTGGTGGCGTATGAAAGCCATTTTATTGCAAAATACAAAGCTCTACCAGCTAGTAAAGCCATTAGCTGCTTAGTAATAACGATTTTCGAGTTGGTATGAAACACTGTAAGATTATATGATGTACAAAGATAGGACAGTAGATGTTAATGAATATAGCTACTTAGGCTATATATACTGATTTATGTATGAGCTGTGTTGGGAAATACATTTCATCCTATTCATTTACTTTGGTTAGACTACGTTGTCACTAATATCCTGTAACATTATCAAACAATAGTCCATCGATAAATCTAATAAATATGTTACAAGCGTCATAGAGATGCCAACAGAATATGGTGTCTGTTGTACTCAAGCTGAATGAAAAAGAAAAAAAGAATCACAAGTGAACCACACACACTCTAACTGCTTGTTATACATGATCCAATGACAACTTGAAAGAGATAACAACACAAGATAAGCAGCAAAAAAAAACTCACTTGATGATAACCAGGAGAATTAATCAAAAACAAAGGAATACTCCCCAAAGGCATTATATCCCGTAAAAATTGACTTTCAATAGGTCTATTAAGATCTGGTGTAGTTTTCAGCCTAAAGATAAAATTAGTTAATAAAGAAAATCAAAAATCAATTTATATATAAACATATTTCAATGAATAACGCAGTCTCTCTGCAAAAATGAGAGCTGAATATTTAAAAAAAAGGGGGACATTCAGAAAACAAATGATATATATATATATATCAACATACCTGGAAAACAGACGGAATATTTCACCAATTTCAGTAGGACATGGTACAAGTTTCACAGCTATGCGGTTATGCAGTGTTGGATAGTGATTAGCAGTTACTGTTTCAACTGTCTTTCGAAAAGTTAAAGTATCTGAACGTTTTGTAGTCATATCATAGGTTGAATCAAGAATACAGCCTAATAGGATAAAGAAAATAATGCAACGCTAGAAATGCTAATCTGAAATAGTTAATTTTTACATAAATGACATGAATAACAGAATGTATTTTTTTAAGAGGAAATCTACGATGATTCAGAACAGTTAGGTGCGTCGTTAATGCCAACTGTGTTAGTGAATCAGACACCAATTAAAACAAAAATATTATGAATTAAAAGTCAATCTGAACGAAGAATATTCTTCTCAATAATTTCTCTTCAGGTTCTTACAATTATAAAATATAATAATAATATAATATAGGGCGCACGATTAGGCAGGTTCGTCTACGGGTTCGAGAACATTTACCAGCTTGGTTCAGCAGGGGGGAAATTAAGTGCATAAAAAGCTCGATCCTGTCACACTTGGTCGATACTGGACATCGTATCGATGTCAACACAGCTTTCAGGGTTATATACCGAATTCCTAAGTCGTTATCACGTACAGTTCGCTTACGTCTCCTGCACATAGCTGAAGCTGTTGCAATAAGATCGACTAAACCGGAACTCTGTATCCAAAAAGCACACGTCCAGACGCTGTTCCTACCGTGGCCAACCTTGGATTGAAGATTTTTCTTCTCACCAAGAGTGCTCCTTCCCCTTAATCCTCTTGGTTTTTTTTTTACTTTGCTTATTATTATAAATATTATTATTACAGTTATTATTATTATTCATAATTTATGCCCTTTATGCAAACATTCCCTCAATACTATCGAATTTTCATTTATACTATTTGGACTTATTATTAGTGATATTATCTGTTTTCTCAATATATGCCTCCAACTGTTTCATTTAACATATTCGTTATCTCACTATGAGCCTCTCATTTCAGTCTTACTATCTCCTGTTTAACTCAGACCACTCACCTGACACCTTTTATAACCTTGAACTGACTTGTCAATTTTCCTACCCCACAATCTACAATTCTATTATGAGTAATCACAACCATTGTCTCCCGTTTTACAATATTTCTGATCGATTTCAGCCCAGCACGTTTGTCACACAAATATGATTATGTATTTTGACATCCCATAACTAATCTGTTATTCTACGTTAAAAATGTATCCACCGCATAACTGGCCTTTATTGTAACGACCACAAATATTATATTTTATAATTGTAAGAACCTGAAGAGAAATTATTGAAAAGAATATTCTTCGTTCAGATTGACTTTTAATTCATAATAATATGGGAATATTTTACACTATCAAATCTTAGAAAAATATTAATTGCAGCAGAAATGAATTAGATAAGCGTTAGTGTTAGCTATAACTTGAAACTTAGATTCATTGATACTGAATGTTAGTCTAGATTATTTGCATCTTCAAAAAGACAGACCTCCTCATTACAAAATATTATGAACAAAATACAGATATGTACGAAGGGTCACCGATATGGACCGTTGTAACGGCAGAACACAGAGAGTAGTACGTGGTAACAGAATTGTTTATTTTCCACACAATAATGCAATGATAGTTCAATTTGCAAATGTTATTTGTATTCTGCTCCCTTTGTCTTCATTTCATGCTTTCTATGTTCTTTCAGAACATTCTCCATTTATCCTTATTACAACTTAAGCCGTTACTCTGCTGCTATTTAGGATTCTTGCAGAAGACATCAGTATACTACTTGTGAATTCTTGTCCTTAGTACACACCAAATCACCATTACACTTATCCGCTTATAGCAGTCATGAGTACACTTCAGAAGGTACCTAAATGTATGAAAAACTCTATAGGCGTTTATAAAAACAAAGAATAATTTCATAAACCTAGTAAACTACACATAATGAGTATAAAAACGCAAAACTCACCACCGTGAACTACTAATATGAGTATTAGTTTGCTTGAAAGTGCAGGCGAACAAGAGATAGGTTTTTGATTAAAGCCTTTGTTATAAAGAAAAGTAGAAGAAATGAGAACACTGATGAGTTTATTTTAGGAATAAAAGTTGCTTTACATAGGTACCAACATTCAAGAGATCTTACTTTATTATTGCAAGTTTTCGTTTTTATGCCCTCAGATACAGTTCAACTATGTGATTTTTTACAGGATTTCATCATGAGCTGACATCAGTTACAGAACCATTGGAAAACTTGGGAGTACTGAACAGCTGTTTCGTCCTAATTTGTGACTCTTCAGCAGTACGCACCCATACTGTGTGGTCCGAACCCAGGACCTTCTGGTTACAAGGCGAGCTCGTAGACCATTAAGCCACTGGGACCCGATCCAATGGCCGGTGCATGAATTCTAACTTTGTAAATTCACGACATAGCGCGACCCCAGCCAATGTCTTCGGCGAGTATTTGTCCTCACACACGACCTGCTGCACCCTACTGGTCACGACTTTCCACTAGAACCCCAGGTAACTACCTACCTGAATAGGGCCAGTCGCCAGTGAGCATCTCATTGATAAGTGATTTATCTTATCTTTGTATACCACATCTGCAACGCTAACTTCATTTTGAAGTCACAAAACACAATAACACCATAAATAGCCACTTAAGCAGTAAATCTGCATTACTTTAACATCATATATATATATATATATATATATATATTGGTTGAGATATGATATACATCCGTACATGTGTACCCAATTAGCAGCAGAAAATTATTCCACCATGGTATACCCATAATTTTTGTGATGTTAGAAATGGTTACCTCTGAGTGCCACATTCTTGGTGCGAATACTGTACGAAGTTTGTGTCTGAATGAATAAATAAATAAAATAATACCTCTGACTGTTTTCAATGAATAATCTTGATAACCGACAAGGATATATAGGATTCACTTAGCCATTGTTACAATGCAGACAAAATATCCAATTGTTAATTAGAGGACGAAAATACCGCGCAGCAGTATGTTCTTGTCAGATTGCAACCTACGAAGACTATGAACACAGTTACTTTCACAGTATCTTCAGTTTTTGATGGAACAAACAGGTGAGTAATGTGAAAGTTAGTCGTGTAATTGTAAGCAGGATTTGTAAGCCACATGGGAAAACTATGAATTTTCATGACAGAACGTGATCAGAGCATACACTACTCTTGTCTATTTAAGGTTTAAGAAGGGATGACTAATTGTAAGTTAGAAAGGTTTGTATAAACACTTGATGGAAACTGAAGTAGGATTGAATTTGGAGACTGCAAAGGGTAATAAGACCATTGAACTATTAAGTTGGTGATTGATGTTATGAGCAGTGCTAAGATATAAAAATTGTTTGACTTTTGACCAAGTGACCGTCATCATTTAGGAGTACAGATTCTACATGGTGCAAGAGTGTTCATTCTTTACCTTCATCTGAACCATGGTATCTAGTTCTTCTAATTGTTTTAGTTTCTTAACGACTTTCGATTATATTTTTTCCAATAACTTTCTCTTTTACTTTTCATATAGTATGCAGTAGTTTAAGAAAAAAACTTGGGCACTGTGGTAGAGTATAACTCCATTATGGATAAAATTTTATTTTGATAAAATCACACAGTGTTATATAGTAATATTTACTGATGATGTTATGAACACAATTTATTGCTCATAAACATATCGAGGTACTCATACAACTCTCTTGCTTAGTTTATATATATGCACGCATTAACACACAACCACACAATAGGGTGGGACAGAGTCAGAATTCTAAAAAGTAATATAGGTAGGTGGAGAGAGGGATTGATTACTGAATCCTGCCTGGTTCATCGAGTCTACACCCAATACATACAACAGAAATGACTCAACACAAATACCAGAGATATGGAAGATATTATTTATTACCAGTCAAATCAGAGAATAATAGATAATATTAAAATGCATTCAATTCACATAACATTCTAATTATTTATTTATTTTAGTATAAAAACATCCCATCTTATTGACTAACAACGACACTCGTCCTAATTCTCATTGTATTATATTTATTGATGACATCAATAGTGTTTCCAAATGTACTTTACCTTCCTTTTTGTTACACGCATGTCTCCTATTGATTTTATTCAAATGTCTAATCAATTTTTACTCATGTATATAAACGAGGCAAGAAAGTTGTGTGAGTAGTGCTTTGATAAGACGATGAGCAGTAATAAACTCTGCTCGAAATGTGGTCATCAGTATATATTACTGGATAAAACTGTGTGATTTTATCAAAATAAAGTTTTATCCATAATGGAATTATGCAGAAGTTTGTTTGATTGCACGGTTATGCAATAATGCTCATATCTATGTTGACGTTGTTTGCCTATTTTCAAGAAATAAGAGTTGTTCGTGATTTTTCAGTTAGTTTCTCTGCCGATCCTGGTTTGTCATGTCGAAAGATATTTATTCATCATTGAAGTTGGAGTAAAATATGTATAGTCCCGGAACTTATCGTACTCAGTTAGACAGACTATAATATAAACATTTTTCTCGTTAACTTTCACTTCAAGGGTTAGTGCATTTTGAATAAATTGTCTGTCTGTCTGTTTTCGACATAGAACTTTGCACAAATGTGCGGAAGTTCAAGTCGCCACATTCCGTGTAGCACGCGAAGCAAGAGAAGAAAGTACAAGAAAAGCATAATAGAAACAGTGAGCAGAGGTGTGAGACAAAGGAGTAATAAAGAAATACAAAACAGTTTCATTGAAGATCATAAGTCACAGGGAGTGGATGCATCTGCGCCACTGAGAACGATTTTGAGCCATGTCACCAATTGTTTCCAACCATAGATTTTTACCGTCCCGAGGACCCCAGCCTGGAAGTCTACACCTTCCTACATGGCTTAGACCAACTGTTGTGGATTTCATTGACTGATGCCAAGTTTTTGTTTGACCGCCGCCAGCTTTTTTCCAGCCTGACCCTATATCCGCTAACATTGCTCGTCGAGGGAGGCGATGGCTTGGCATACGTAACACATGTCCTAACCATCTCAGTCTTTGTAGCTTCACGACTTCGTCGATTGATTTCCCCTGTTTACCTAGGACTCGACGCCTAACCTCCGTGTTGCTCACCTTATCATGCCACTTCACACGGGAAATAGAGCGCAGGCACCTATGATCAAAGACAGCTAGTCTTTTCATGTCTTCCACTCTCAGTGGCCAGGTCTCACAACCATAAAGGAGGACGGAGCGGACTGATGAGCAGTACACCCGCCCTTTGGTCGATAGTCGAACATCTCGTCTACGCCAGAGTCGGCGTAAACTGGAAAATGCGAAACGAGCCCCTTGTATTCGTGCTGAGATTTCTTCAGAGATCAACCCGTTGGGGCTGATGGTACTTTCCAAATAAGTGAAGCGGTCAACGTGCTCTACCACTTCACTTCCTATTTTTAAACTAGGCGTCGATGTAGTCCAGTCCTGTAACATCATCTTGCATTTGGCGGGAGCGAATCGCATGCCAAACATTCGTAGATTGCTGTTCAAGGTGTTTAGAAGACTCTGCATTTCGTCAGCGTCTTCGCCTAGAAGGACTATATCGTCTGCATATTCCAAGTCAACGAGATTATCCCCCGGTATCAAGTCAATCCCTGAGTCGCTGAAGTCACCTAGGGTTAAGTCCATTAACACATCTATGATGAAGTTGAATAGAAAAGGAGATAATGGGCATCCTTGACGGACACCACTGGTCGTCATCATAAATTAAATAATGTAACATACTGATTCATTTAAGGGTGTACAGATAAATTTAACTCCATATGAAAGTGAAATGCAAGTAGTCTGACTTACACGACTTTAAGTCAGAATTATCAAAACTTTGAAAATTTGAGGCGAATGGAGTAGCATAATCAGTATTTCCAGTAATGTCACTGCAACATGTAACAAAGGATTTAGAATCATCGTCTGACTCTGTAAAAGAATGAGAGAAAACAATTCAAAGCTGTATAGTACAATTTGTAATCAAACCTTAAGAAATACAGTTCATGAGCAATTTAATGGAAGTTGACAATATACAGACAGACAACTTCATACAAAAAACATTTGCTTAAATTGTCTTTTTCTTATAATTATTAGTTCTTTGAGTTTCCAGGAGAATGTAGTGCTTTAAGCGGCACATTTCCACTGCACGCACTTCTCTGCTAACACTGAAAGCTGGCACCACAACTTCCCATAAGCTTTCATTTCCTCTTTATATAACCTTCCTCATGTTACCCAAAGGCGCCCACCCAACTGGTCGCTTGCAATTAGGGTTCTATACTCGAGGATCTGAGGTATGATGTCACTTAATGAACTCTTCAGAGTATAGCCAACCCATTTCCATTTCCTTCCCCATACGTTGTTGTCTAGTTCGCTATACTTCCACTGTTCCTTGTTGCTTATTCTTTCTTGCTGGCCACTTGAGCGAAAGCAGGTGTTGATGAAAATCTGTAATCTGTATAGAAACAACTGTTTGAAATTAGTATTGAAAATTCGGATCTTGTCCTTTGGATTAAATGCTATAGATCCCTACACTGATTTTAGAGTAATGAACGCCTGTCTTGTTTTTCCAATCCTGGATGGCTTTGACACCATCAAATGTGCCGCCTGTAGTTAAAACAATGCTGACCAGGAAGGAGAAAGACGATTTTCTTCAGACTCCTAACGTATATAACACTTGGTGTTTGTTATTGTGATTCAGGTATCTACATCCCCTTCGTCTTCTCTATATTCAGTTGAAGTACTGTCTTCGTTACCTTTTCTGTCAACTTCTTGCTTTTCGCTTCCCTATCAGCGAGCTTATGTGGAAATTGGTATCTCTATATAGCCAAACTATGTATACCTTATCTTCAACACACCATTTGCACAGATCTTCGTGTTGTGGTAATTCTGGACTTCATGCTGTGTTCCTTTGTGTTCCTTTCACTTCTCCAATGTATCTTCACAATGCTGTATCATTTGCCTTCTCTAAAATCAAATGTATCTCCCTGTTATTTGATGTTTTTTCTCCGAAGAACGTCCCTCTACATACTACTGATAAATCTCATCAGTAGCACTCGCCACATTACTACTGTCTTCACTTCTTTAAACGCTTCGGTCAGGTTTTTGGTATTAATTAATTGTCATGCGGCATCACCATACAACCTGACTTCACCACATTAAATAATTGTGGCAGAAACAACACAGAGTACTATAATAAAAATTCTAACTAGTAATTTAACGATAAATACGGAACAACATAAAAGTTAACCTTTCATCGATGATATAAACTAAAAGTACTTGCAGTCATGCAATGTACTGTTTCTTAACGCTAGTTAGGCCGCTGGTCACTGTATTATACATATTGTACATCAGTAGCTCTCATGTCTATGCGTAGTACGACTCTCGGCGACCATGCACATAGTCCGAAGTTCGATACCCTGCCGACGCACACCTGATATCTATGGTCGGCCTGCAAAATTTGGGCTACCGATATCCATGCTGAAAATTCCATACTTGTACCAAAAATACAGTGTGGAATCAAGCTGTAATAAAAAAAAATAGTACACAGTGCTTTTTGATTCACTAAGATAACTTTTTCTGACTAACCTAAGCTGTGGATTAAATTTGCAACTCGCCCGGTGGTTAGGTCGCTTCGAGCTGGCTAGCAGGCACTACTGACTAGAGTGAGTGGTATCCAACTACTGATATCAACCACTCAGTAGTATACGGCATCATGCAGTTATGCTTGCTTCCTTGATCGCCACTTATGTTATCAAGCAGATCATATACTGTGATCTGAATCATTTCGGTTTCCTAAGGAAACTGTGGTGAAATTCCACCTCTAACTGTGAACATTGCAAATCGTGAATTAATTCGCAAATTGCCAATTTGATAGCCATTGTATTACCAGTTCGTTCAAACTTACTTATAAATTAACTTTATTAAAGCTAATGCTGTGCATAGGTCTATAGTTTATCATCCGTAAACATACAACTCCACAATTTGCTGTAAATTCACCTCATTGATTAGTTAGACTACTGCAACAATGTTAACTTAGGGTTTGAGCAAATTAGGATTATTCCTAAAATCTTTTACATGTCTAGACACATACCTTCACAAATGTCGTACTTTTCCTTCCTCCAACCTACCATCTCATACAGGTGACCAATGAGCATTATTTGCATGTCATTTTTTGTTGACCCCACTTGAAATGGTGAATGTCAGTACTTATCACACGAATTGTTTGTATCCGTGCTAAGATGAAATTTCAAACCAGACCTTTAATGAGATATCAACTCGCTGAATGGAAATCATAAATGATCTATACAAGTGTTTCATTCTATGCCCAAGAACTATTTGTCAGTTTATATAGAAACTGAAGCATCTTTTTAATTCAGGCAAGTTAAAAAATAAAACAGGATTGTTTTATTAATTCCAAAAATATTCGTCAATAATTCCGAGGGAGGCAAAGTTAAACTATTGCAGCCGAAACCAAAGTGACCTTGAACAACCAATCAGAATTCAGATGTAAGAAAAGGTCGCATAATCGTTGAAAAATACACTAAAAAAACTACTAACATGATATTATACTGTATAGTTGTAGCTTATGTGTTGTAAGAATGTCTCCCACTCAATAAACAAATGATCTACAGAGCAATCGTACCATGCGCGATGTACCCATTCAGAAAACAGAAAGATTGAGCGAGGAAATATTTACTTTTCAATTAGATCCTCATCTCACTCTGGCTCTACTCTAATATACACGTATACCATTTTTATTACAGTACACACAACAGTTTACCAATCAAGTGGCACTGATATGTTTGTTAACAGTAGCACACTTTGTAGATAGCGAGCATAGGGTTGGTGTTGATACTGCATTTAAAATTATTTATCGCATTCCTACTAATCTTAATTTTGCTTTACGAGTTCGTCTTCTACAGACAGCTGAAGCGATAGGAATCCACATGAAGAAGCCAAAACTGTGTGTTCAGAAGAAATTTGTACAGCCACTTTCCTTACCTTGGCCATCGTTACATGAATGTATAAACAGGACTACTTCGCCCCCCTCCCTCTAAACCTTTAAAAACTATAAAAAATTATAATTGTCCAAATTATTTTTTATTATTTTTTTATTTATTTTGACCACTTCATCTTTAATTACGTGTTATCCCAGTAAAATTAATGTATTCTAACCAATTCTACCTTTTAAATGTGTGTATTGATTTTCTTCGTTAATTATCAACCCATTGACATTTTGACACTGACTAATTATTGTTAACAAACATATCAGTGCCACTTGATTGGTAAACTGTTGTGTATACTGTAATAAAAATGGTATACGTGTATATTAGAGTAGAGCCAGAGTGAGATGAGGATCTAATTGAAAAGTAAATATTTCTTCGCTCAATCTTTCTGTTTTCTAAATGTCTAAATGAGGATTTTTTCTACATATCCATTCATCCAAGTGACTGTAGGTCATGGTACCAGACCAATAGTTTGAGACCTATTGGTATTTCCGACATTACTCCTCAACCTCCCTCTAACTCTAACCATAATCCCAACTTTAACCAAATACCTAACCTTAACCCTAGATTCTAAACCTTAATCATAAACACCATAACATTACCTAAGAGTATAGATTTGCAGAAAGAGTACATAGTAAATAAGTAGAGTACTGTATCCATCCTCTCTAACTCCAAAAAGGCAGGTATGACTTCATTTGGAATGACATTTCATAGCATTCCCTGTGCGTTGTTAACCCTTGAAGATCAACTTTTGAAGGACCTTGACTTTGCCTATGATACTTTACCTTCGCCCTGAGGGAGAGAGACAGTAGAACAAATTACCAGGCAGTCTTAATGTCGGCCAATTTCTAATACAATGTGACAGGTATCAGCGGCCGTATTTACTCTTTCTTATCTGACTAGAGAGATCACGAATTCTCAACAGTTGTTTGAAAATCTTTCGCCTGTAATAAATCACTAAAGAACCCACAGTTAACTTTTAATCTAGTAGTTTTGATATTTAGGCCAGTTGTCTGAGAACCGTATAACCCTTGATTTCAAACCAATTCCAATTAGTTCTCTTTCAAAAAGAATCAGTAGACCCTGTAAATTTTGAGATTAGGTTAGTTTATTGTCCTAAGCAAAATGACTATCACAATAATGTGAATCAACTAACCTGGGAATGATACTGTGAACGGTTCAAAATCATCCAGCTCCAAATTATTTGCTTCTAATTTCTTGAAATCAGCCCATAAGTTTTCTTCTGTAAAAAAAATAGACAAAAACCCAGTGTTTATCAATGCATTACTCACTTTCCTAACTCAAATAAAAAAATTTTTTCTAAGGTTTATTTAACTTGAAAAACACACACTGAAGATGGAGATGCATGAAATATTCTCATTCACATAAACATACATGGCACAGCGACGGCAAGATGAACAATGGCAACAGTTGTTAGATAACACCTACATGAAATATGCGCGAGCCACTAAAAGGTTAGTTAATCTAATGACAACTATCACTAATGATAATGAAAGAAAAAAATAAACACAATCTATGGTCTGCATTAAAGTTTGAAGAAAATCAAGCTAGTGAGTGGACCTATATAATATATGATCTGAGAATTAAAATAAGAGGAGAAAATAACAGTAGTGAATGATGCGCAATAGAGACACTAGCATTCAGTATGAGTCTGTAATAGCCTTACGTGAGGTCAGGTTTAGATAGATCGATTGGCAATTATGAATTATACCACCATTCGGTTAGTAGTAGGCTTATCTATTCACCCAATGAAACTGATTAAAAACAAGTAAACAAAGGTGAATATCCGCTATCAAAGCTGAAAGTCTTTCTTATATCTTGCGAGAATCAATTGTTTTTCTCTTCAATAGTAAAATTATACAAATGCTTAGGAGCATAGAATTCATCCAAAAATTGAGAGTAAGGTCTTAAAAGGAGTTTAAGTAGTTATCATTTGTTATACAACTATTTGATATTTGTTGCATTTTATTCTGAGAACACTCTACAATTACCACTTGGGCAATCTCTGGCACCTGTGTCCAAAAACCCATAAACTTGTTGATATTTACAATTTATCATAGTAGATTCACTAGCTATCTTAAAGTGTACTAGACGGCTAAATCAGTCAATTAAATTAAACTGGAAACACTCAGTATTATCGATATACAAATGAAGTATTAGAATTTTATTTCCTTCACATTCCCAGTGGAACATAGCGCCTCAAGCTAGCGGCTTAAAGTTTTTGTAGCAGTGTTTAATTTTAAAGGAGGGGGTTGCTAGCCTCATTCTCAACCTTTCCTCTTTTACCAGGATTATTTCTGGCTTAGCGAGGTAAAGAAGCGCGTTGGTGGCCGGGGATCGAACCCCGGACCATGTTCATGGTCGCCGAGCGTCCGTCCTAATCGCTGTGCCACCGACGCACAAGTATTAGAATTACCCACTTCTAATAATATTCAACCAGAATGAATGTCGACCTGTTCAATTGGAAGATTATATATTTATTTATACGAGAGACTTTAAATATCATAAACAAAAAAAGGAAAATAATATTTTAGTAGAGACGACTGGCAACAGTTGGACACAGATATCTTTTCTGAAACAAACGAAGTAAACCATTTAATGGTATTAGATGGTTGGAGGCAATCGGGAGGAAGCCTTGGACCTAGGTTTCGTGTTAGTTGGCACTCATCAGCAAGGCGTATCTGCAACCTTGAAGGAACTCATGTCCCTTCTGAGAATTCTTCTGATAGAATTCAGTCCGCACCAAAGAAAGGACTAGACACGTCACATTAGTTACAAGTGTCCAATCAAACTACCCACTACAGTCCTATAGAAGGTCAATCGTGAGCCCGAGTAGCTCAGTGGTAACGTCTCTGACTGCAGAACTGACTGGGCGACGCGGGTTGGAATCTCAGAAGGGGCATGAGTTCCTTCAAGGTCGCAGATACGCCTTTCTGACTGGTGAGTGCCAACTAGCACGAAACCTAGGTCGAACAAGGCTTCCTGTGGCCGATTGCCTCCAACCATCTAATACCATCAAATCAATGTGCACCGTGATGGCGAGCTACCTAGAATGGTGGTCACATTACAACCTGATTGATAGAATTCAGTCTACACCAATCAGAGGACTAGACGCATCACACTAGTTACTAATGTCAAATCAAAGTAAACCATTCCCAACAATTGTAAAGGAAACAAAATAAACACTGTTTGTATGATTATCACTAGAATAATAAGTAAGCAGATAATGAACCACAATATTTAAGTAACCCCCACCCCCCCCCTCAAAAAAAAATAAACAAATTCATAATTCAATAGCAAAACCAAATTGCTTCACAGTAATTTAACATGAATAATCTAGATATGCAGATATTATCTAATATATATACATAGTGTGCAGTTTAACATGAGTAACGATCAGTTAGTAGACAAAGTGTTCATATGTGTGCATTATAAGTTAAATAAAAGGACAACATAGAAAAACAGAAACTAATGACAATGAAATGACAACAAAAAGCTAAATGGCCAAATAATAATTCAGCCATAGGAAATATATGCATGTAAATATGCGTAGATATATAAATCACCACTTAATTTTTTAAAGAATATTGAAATATATCTAAAATGTGAAAGATGAAAACACTTAATCCAGAAACAACAATACCATTAATGATGATAACAGTCACTTAATTAGTGTAAAGCAAATACTTTGTTACAATGTGTCGTATTGTAATAATTAGAAGAATATGATCATCAAGTCGAAAGGAAACTTCGTTCAAAGGAGGATTATGATATAATTCAAACAAATAAATGAAGACATTTTATACACAGACAAGTTTGTGATGCATGAATAAGTGTTTAAATAAATTATAAAAAAACAATGAAGTCATTTTCACCTCATAACATCAAGGATGAACAAGTCGGTTTTTAACACTATGTGGTTATACTCTCATCGGTGAACATTTGAAAGGTATGCGTTAAAATAATAACTTTCATATTGGGTAAAGTTGTTTGTCATTATGATGAACGCATGACGTGAAATTCATTGCAAAAAAACCTTTATTTTATGACAGAAAAGTTGGACTTCAATAAGTTGACATATAAATATATATATGTATATATATGCATTTTGACATTTTCATGAAGAAATATACGCTGCTAGTAAGTGTAACATGTGATATATATAACACGTAGTTATATACCTTTAAAAAGAATCATTACCACCACTTCACAGGTAAGAGAAATCAATTTACACAGCCACAAGCAGAAATTTCATATATATGAATTCACCAATTACAATTTCAGTGTAAATTTAGATACTATAGCGAAATCGAAATGCATTTCACTAACCATTTGGGTAAATCTTTAGAAAAATTAAGATATCAATTAGTGAGCTAAGCTGAAGATGAAAATAGTAAGTGCTCAAGCATATGTGATAAAAATATACATATGTATTTAGTAATAAAATTCGGGCTAGCCCAGTAATCGATAAAAATATCAGCCAGTGGACAGTATTAGTTGTGGAATAAGCATAAATTGTATAGGGATTTGTCTACTGTAATGCTAAAATATCAGTACTAGAGATAGGCACAAGCAGCCTTGAGATTTGTTAAGATTAAAAATCATACAAAAAGTCATAATTATGACCAACCTATTGTAATTCCATATTACTTTTATAGTATAATATGGCCAAAGGATTTATAAACGAAAATAAAAACTGCAAGAGTATTCATCATCCCGTTCTCAACATCCGTAAACACACTTACAAAGGACGGAAGATAGACAGTCTTGGACTTATGACTACTCGAGCTAGGAATTCAATTATCATTATTACTCAGCTCACGAAGTAATACCTATTCTTCTAAGGGGATTACAACAAAACTAGTAGCGCTATCACTTTAAGCCATCCATCACGCAGATGACTTAATCCACTTCGTCTACTCTAAAACCATGGATATGAATAGTGTTTTTTAAGCTTGTACAAGATACATACTAGGATATGAATTATATTAATAACGCATTGAATCATGATTAGCCATAAAGCCCCAAAAAATGAAAATCACCTAATCTAAGACTTGTCAACTGCACAACAGTGATTGGTCGGCAAAGTTCTTCAATAAAAGGTTACTGCTAATCGCATAAAGAATTTATTTTTTTGTTTGTTTTTGTTTTACCAAGTCTTAGAGATTTTCAATACAGATTTAGTCAATGAATTCAGGTACATATAAATATAAACAATGCAAAACTTTAACTGAAAATTAAAAAAATAAACAAAAAAAACAATGAACAGATAATTTCAAAATAATCCAAAACCCAGCTTTCTTATCATAACCAAATGTTGTACAATGAAGGAGGAAATAGATTAAGAAATTAAATTTGAATGTATATTCTGACCTTTATACCAAAACTTCAAGATAACAAATGAAGATTTTCGTCAATTATAAAACGTGGTAGTATTACACTATTTCACTGGGGGTAAAAAAAAACACTAGATTGAATCGAGATAGATAGAGTATGTACTGCTGAGAGTTTTGAATATCGAGTGAAATTAAAGTGTACTAAGCATGAAAGAAAGGATAACATCAAAGAAGGAAGTAACAACACATAGAGAAAGGGTAAATTTTACATGCATACAACATAAAAACAATTACACAAGGAGGAATCAATGAAGACATACCTAGAAAAACAAAATGATGGACTGGAAGGAAATATTCCACATGCAAGACTAGGTAATTTACGCGCTACAGTATATATGAATATCCACAGTGCATTTGATATTAAAATATACAAATATCCAATACGATGCATAAAAAGAAAAGATATACTTGGTTCAGATTTAGCACAAATGAATGAAAATAGTACTTGCATACGAAGATTATACAAAATACATCATAACATCACAAAAATGTTGTCTAACTATGAGAAAAATAGTACATTTGTGAAAATAGGAAATTTATTTCATAAAGGTTAACAGGACAGAGACAATGATACAATATGATGAAAGCAGGAAAGTGGAAATTTTCCACAGGGCTGGTATTACACAGATTTTTGGATTATGCGGATCTTTTGTTTTTTTCTTAAAGAATATTTTGACCAATTTTTTAACTTTCCATTTGTATATCTTCAATATTATTGCAGATTTTTGGTAAACTCTACCTCCCGCCGCTACATCCAACACCACCACCATGACCATCAACAAGTTTAACACACACACAGAATGTAATAGTACGCCGGTATACACGTAATACCGTAGTACACTAAATACTAGTTATGATGAGTCCTTTTACACAGGAAACTCCCTCTCTCTAGAAGGCTTCATACATTCATAATAATATTAGTACTGATACTAATACTTAAACATACTACTACTCAATGTGACAAAACATACAACTATTCTTATAATAACAATGAATATCATTTGCTGAAAACACGCTGCTATTCAATTTCTCATTGCCTTCAAAATCCAATGAAACTCACAATCACAGATCTCAAGAACAGTAAATGTATGTGCATGGTAAAAAAAGGAGGATAACTTATACACGTACACAATGCCCATAGAACAGGACTGATAAATATATATATATATATATATATATATATATATATATATATATATATATTCATGTACATACAAACTATGTAATTTTAGCTGGGTGAACAGCCTTCAGATAAATCCGCACCTGCAATATTATCTGGATCTTGTGTAATACGATATTCTGTTGATTCAGATGGATTAGTTGAGACTGCAGCAGGTTCACAATTCTGAAAAAGAATACAAAGTAAATATGATGAGTAAAATTATTAACACAAAATAAACAAGAGACAAGCATAGAAGTAAAAAAAATAATGATGAATACAAACAAATAATTATTTAGGAAACAGCTATGTTTCTCAAATTTCCCTCATCAGTAAGGACTTATTCTTTTTGTGGAAATCAAACACTGCTATATATATATAGAGCAGTATGAGAAACTTTGACAACTGAAAACTTAATTCATGAAATAATTTAATCTCCATTTTATTGGGACTTAGTTGTCTAGTAGAGATTTTCCGTGTAGCAGGGGCTAAGAGCTACACTTATCTCACGAGAAGTCTGATGATACTAATCAGTTGCCTGGGTTGTATTAGCTAAAGTGGGAATAAACAATGAACTCTTCTTCATATATATATATATATATATATATATATATATATATTCCTATAGGAATATTTATTTAAATTTTCTTTTGTTTATCTTTCTTCTACTTTTAGACAGTTGTCGCGTTAGGTTGCATGCCCTGTTTCTTGATATCACTACTTAATGATTGGATTTCACATGAGTTAATAGTAAAAGTGAACACAGACAAGACGGAGGTGATGAAAATAACCAACCAACAACAACAGCAACATCCAGCGCCAATCACCATCAAAGGGAGGAACATGAAAGAGGTTACTCCATTCACTTATCTAGCATTGTCTCAACTACAGGAGGAACGGATGAGGATGTCAAATCGAGCGAGAATCGGGAAGGCGAGAAACACATTCATCAACCTGAAACCAATCTGGAAACCTTCGTCACTCAGCCAGTATCAACAACAAAATTCGGATTCTCAACACAAACGTAAAGTCAGTTAGTTCTTCTATACGGATCAGAAACTTGGCGGGCGGGCGAGTCACAAAGAATATTTCCAACAGCCTGTTGCAGACTTTTAACAATCAACAACTGTCTTCGCTATATACTGAAGATCAGATGCTCGGACTGGAAAGAATCACCGACAAGAAACTATAGGAACCACAAAACAAGAGCCAATCGCCAACCAACAAATATGCAGGAGAAAGTGGAGATGGATTGGACACTCGCTGAGTGAATAGGCCGCTGGGTGACATCGCGCGCGCGTCAGGCCATTGCTCGAATGGAACCCGAAAGGGAAGCGACGAGTGGGACGTCAGTGCAAGGGTGATATGGAGGAGATCGTGTGAAGAACCAGGAGTTGAAAGAGTATGGACTAACATGGATGCAGGTGAAAAGTACAGTAGAAGACAGAAGCAAGTGGAGACGTGCAGTTGAAACCCCATGTTCCACTAGGAACCCAAGGGAGCAATAACAATAATAATAATAGTAAAATTTGACGGTTTTCATCAGTACAGGGTTATATTACAGTTGTACAGAAAAGTCATGATTTACTGAGTTAAAACTTAGGAATTAGGGCACTAGACAATTTATTGATTATTATTATTATCATTACCATAATGAACAAAAAGATTATGTGTTTAACTAACTCCAACAGGTTGAGGTTTTGTTTCAGTGGCACTAGTAGTCGCTGTTGACTGAATTTGATTTGATAATTGATCTTTAATGTTTGTAGGTTGATCAGAAATCGCCATTTTCGTTGCTAATGCTTGAGCTGTTTCCTCTTCTAGACGACGTATCTCATCTATTGTAAGCCCATACCATTCATCCTGCCATGCCCATACTTGTCGATGTGCTCTTAACATAGTTTTTCGAAGTGCTTTAGCGCGTATATAAAAAAATAGTTGAAGGAGATAGTAAGATGTATCACAAATATTTTAAAGGACAATCTTAATTGGGAAGAAGGCATCCCTTATACAATTGCATAAAACGATACATAACAAGGAATGAAATAAAGTATATATAAATATATATACAATGAAGTATGATCTTTTGAACACCCAAAAACAAAACTATGAGTATATTGTTGTTCATAATCATATCAATTATAATCACACAACTTTGAAACTTGAGTTTTATAGTTTTCTTTGTCCTCTCCTATTTTTCGTAGGGGTAGTAGGATTTTCCAGATATCTCCCTGGACAGGTGTTGAATCATTCCCATTACACGTAATTATAGTTGATTCGATAAACAAAGCTTCTGTTATCAATCTCTCCCTATACCCTGTGACATTAGATTTCAAAACTGTCATCCTATCCCATCCTACTATATGGTTGTGTGTAATTGCATGTAGTACTACAGCTGAACTGTTCTCAAGATTCCTTATCTTATTCGGGTCAACTAATCGGGATTTTGCAAGGTTTTTATGCTCGGCTAGTTTGACCTATGTATTTGACTTGACAATCATTGCAGAGTATTAGATAAACTAAATTGTTTTGTTTTAAAGGTTTCACAGGATTCTTTAACCGACAAAGTTTGTTTTTAATTGAGTTTGTGGGTTTGAATGGCACTTTTACTCCTGCCTTGTTAAGAATTCTGCCTAAGACCTCCGAGGTTCCTTCCTTGTATGGAATTAATACTGATGATTTAGATTCCTTGTTCTTGATGTTGTCTTGCGCATGTTTGACTTGCATGTCGCCATTAATATTACTATTATTATTATCACTATCATAACTATCATTATTTACTTTATTTTTACATTTCCCTGCATACTTTTTGACTAATTTATCAGGATAATTATTAAGCTTCAAGGCTTCTCTTATATGTATCACTTCCTGTCGTAGATTTTCCTTGGTACTACTTAGTTTTTGTGCTCTGTCACTTAAACATTTCACCAATCCTATTTTCACTGACATAGGATGGGATGATTGGAAGTCCAAATATCTGTTTGAATGTGTGGGTTTCCTGTAAACACTAGTGTTTAACTTCCCATCTTCTTTCCTTTTTACGCTACAATCTAACATTGAAAGCTCCCCTTCCTGACTTTCCAATTCATCATAAGTGGATTGAATCACCTCCACCTTTGAGTTAATGTGTTCGAAAAGTCTATCTATATCCTGCATTCTAAGTACAGTGAATGTGTCATCTATATACCTCCACCATACTTTTGGGATGAGGTTGAACGTTTTAATCGCTATGTTTTCCCACCTATCCATGAATATATCTGCCACAACCGGGGATATTGGTGACCCCATGGCAACTCCCTCAGTTTTGTTTGTATATTTTCCCCTGGAATTTAAATACTGTGGAAGTCAGGCATAGCTGCACTGCCAGAATTTTGTCCTCCTGTACACAGACAACTTCGTTTACTTACTTGATTTAGATGAGAAAACATGGTAAATAATAGTAGGAAGTTAGTTGGTAAAACTGTACAGCTACATCGATTGAAACGGGTACGATGCAGAAACACCGCCTACCTTGATGATGAATATTAGCCGGATTATAACTAGTATGTTAAAATCTCGTTGGTGCTCATAGCAGAATACGACATCAGTCGTCGAAGTCAATGACTTTTTTTCTGAGTCTTGTAAAATGATGTAGATTGCCCGTATGTGGAGTTCGTGGAGTTACAAAACAATGGTTTAGGTGTTGTTAACATTGCTAAACAAAATAATTTTCAATGAAACAGATGTACTTATTCTTTTCCAAATTCTACAATGCTTTATTAATCTTCATTTAGCAGTTTTCAGTCACATGTATGTTTGTCAAATGCAGTATACTTAAGTTTCGCTTCCCTTATTTTGGGTGCTGCTTTAAAGCTTCAAGTTATGAACTTCTGCGTATCCGTTAGAATAATCAAAAGTAACCTTGTAACGCAGGGATCATTATTCGAAGGTTGTTCTATATCAACACCATGTTTTTAAGTACACATGAATGAATTTGGGAGTTTTTAATTTTTTGTTCCCAAATATTCATCAAAAATAACTTTTTTTTATCCACATTGTTGTATAATATTTTGAAGCATTTTTAATACCCATCTTTTTTAGTTTGATCAAGCTAAAATAGCTATAGTCGTTGTTTTTACGAGTTTGACCACGGATCGATATCAACTAGAGAACCATTGAAAGCCAGGGTGTACTGGACAGCTGTTTCGTCCTAGTTTGGGACTCATCGGTAGTACGTACCCACTGCCCACCCTTACAAATCAACTCATGGACATAGTTGTTGTGTTGACAGGTATGAATAGCTGGTATTTATACACTTATTTTTTATTGTGTTATAGAATAAACACATATAGCTGAAGCCAATTACACCATGTTACTAAATAATGCTGCCAATAAAAACAATCAAACGATTGAAGAACAAGTGAAAATATTCAAAAATTTAGAACAATTTACATGTTCCTACAAGGCTTTGAAAAAATATCTATTTATCGCATATGAAATGCAACTATGCGCAGTTTTCTGCACTGCAAAGTATTTTACACAAATTTTAAAGACATGTAGTACTACACTTTGATAGATGAGACGTGATTCGAGTCCAGCAAAGTCAAGTGCCCAAACAAACAATACATGGTTTTATTTTACTGCATTGATTATAAGTGACCAGTGATTACAGATATACAGACAGTTGGATAAAAATCGAATAACTTGAATTTAAGAAACAAAAAACAACTAACCGCAACATACCAGTATCATGAATAAATTGTTCAACTCGTGTTTGAGTACCCCAATAACGAAATTCCACTCGACAGAGTTTATATGCACACATAATCCGCTTAGGCAACGGTTTCAAAACTTCAGTAGCTGGTGTATTGTCAGGTGTTCGCGTTGGTGGTCTTTCATATGTTTCAAGAATCATTTTCTGAGCACGAGTGAATTCTTCACGCCAATTTGGAGATAGTGGTCCACGACCGGTTGCTGCTGACGCATAAATAGTCGGATCTTCCTCTACTTTATAGTCGTTCCCAGTAACTGAATCCTTTACAATATCGATAAAATCTGTAGAAGAAGTTTTCATTAAAAATATATATGAAAACATGAAATAGTAATAACAAAGTAACATATCAGAGTAACTCTATGAGACTTACAAAGAAAATTAATTGAGGAACATAATAGGAATTATTTATATTATTCTAACCAAAGTGAATAAAGTTTAAAATACTAAATTTGATAAATAAAAAAGTAGAGATTCAATATATTCACTCAGTAACCACTACAATTTATGTTACACTACAAATTCACCACCTAAGCTTGAACAATATAAAAAGGAGCAAACTACAGGACTAAAGAGGATTATTATTATCATTCCTTCTAATGAAGCAATAATGAAAAGCTGAATTATGATCAGTTGTTCATCTTATAATTATTTTTTTTCCTTAAATTATAATGAAACTAAACCATATCATTACCTACCGAGTCACTTCATTCCTTGAACTAAGCTTCAAACGTCAAGTCAGTTAGTTCTTCTATACGGATCAGAAACTTGGCGGGCGGGCGGGTCACAAAGAATATTTCCAACAGCCTGTTGCAGACCTTTATCAACAACTGTCTTTGCTGGATCTATACTGAAGATCAGATGCTCGGGCCGGCCCGACCGTAAGCTGCTACCTTGACGTGGTGGTCGGGCTTGAACACCGCAATGACCTAATCAAGCTATACTGGCTGAGACTTATGTCTCTTGAGGTTCTACCATGCCAGGCAGGTTGTTTGGATAGCGGTTAAACAAAAAGCAGCTACCCAATCCAACATCATGTCCAATACAAAATTACAAAATTTCATGCCGGATCGGCCGTGGCCCGGATTAACAACGACCGCGCTTCCTGCTGCCGTGTCACAGGGCGGGAGTGATAAATCTGCTACTGAGACACACCAAACAAAAAAGAACGAACAAAAACAGGCCGCGTGTGACCGGCCTCAAGCAGTTGTCCCCTGGGCTCTGCGGTCACGCAACCAACTTCCACGGTGTGGGCAGCCGGGAAGTAACAATCGCCCTCACAATCCGAAATGCACACGAAACCTCTCTATTACTCACTCATCTTTGTCTTCATCTTCATCTCTATCATCTTGCCTTCCTTCCACTGATGCAACTCCTCGACTTGATAGCTCTCCACTTCCTCTCCACTCTGCGTCCACTAAAAACGATGGAAGCCAAAAAACCACCACCGACAGCCTCTTAAAGCCGCGCCACCAATTTCATATAGGAGCTCTTAATGTTAGGACACTTTGCCAAATAGGACAACAAGCATCACTAGCCAAGACCCTGGCATCACGAGCCATTGATGTATGCTGTGTTTCAGAAACACGCATACAAGACCCAAGTGTGGTTATTCACCTAACCCCACCTGGCCAACAGGTTGAATCTGCAAAATTCACCTTGAGGGTGTCAGGAGATGCCACAGCTAGTTCACGAGGATTAGCTGGCGTAGGGATAGCTTTGAGTACTAGGGCAGAAAAGACATTGCTTGACTGGATCCCGGTAGATAGCCGAATGTGTGCTGTCCGCCTGAACGGATCAGTAAGAAGGAGGAAGGACTGCACTACTCGCCGATGCCTTTTCGTAATCTCCGCCTACGCCCCCACTGACTGCAGTTCAGATGAAACGAAGGATGAGTTCTACCAAAAGCTGTCTAGTTTGGTGGAAAGGCTAAACGCTCAGACATAGTCGTTCTAGCTGGTGACTTTAACGCTCAAGTAGGGAAATTGTGTCAATCTGAGAAGGATGTCGGTGGCACCTATGGAGCTCCGTGCCAGCGAACCGACAACGGTGACCGTCTCCTACAGTTCTGCTCTGATAATCATTTGTTTCTTGTAAGCACTAACTTTAAACACAAGGAGAGACACTGTTTGACTTGGAGACCCCCTTCATCAAACCAACGCTGGACACAAATAGACCACATAGCAATAAGCTATCGTTGGCGTGGGTCGGTAGGAGATTGTCGCTCCTTCTGGAACACGTGCGTAGATACCGACCATGCACTGGTCCGCGCTCGGGTGTGCTTACGACTGAACGGACGTAGGAAACAGCTGGCGGTAAAACCATCACGTCCCCAGCTCGATCAGGAAACTAAATCCGTATTTCAGGAAGAACTAGCTAAACACATATCTGTGTTCGACAGCTGTGCTCACCCTGAAGAAGCTTGGAAAAATATCCAGGCAGCCATAGATACAGCTGTAAAAGCTGTGAATAAGGTAAACCCAAAGGTGAGTAAAAACCACTGGATCTCCACCGCCTCATCCGAACTGATAGATGCTAGAAGACTTATTCCGGCGAGCTCCGAATTCAATGAGGAGCGAAAGCTGCACAAGAGGAAACTTACGAAAAGTCTCCGCAAGGACCGTGAACAGTGGTGGGCGACAAAAGCCAAAGAGATGGAGAAAGCTTTGAGGATAGGCAACACCAGGCAACTCTTTGGACTCATCAGGGAAACGGGTGGGAGAAGACAAATCATTAGTGAGACAATCTCGGAAAAAAATGGCACTATAATTAGCTCACAGGATAGACGACTGGATCGTTGGAAAGAGCATTATGAGGAGCAGTTTAATTTGCCCACAGCCACGCTCAACCTTCCGAGCATCCAACACCTCCCTGAATGGGATATAGACACAGGTCCTCCGTCACTAACTGAGGTTACTAAAGCTGTCACCAATCTGAAACTAGGCAAAGCAGCGGGACCTGATGGAATGACTCCAGAGGTATTTAAGTACGGTGGAGACAGCTTACTGTCCGGATTAACTGAGGTACTAGGCAGCGTCTGGGAATCAGAAGAAGTCCCATCGGGTTGGTGTAAGTCACTGATTATCCCCATATACAAGAAGGGAGACAAGTCTTCCTGTGATAATCACAGAGGGATTAGCTTGACTAATATAGTATCTAAAGTCTTAGGCTCAATAATCATGCGTAGACTGAGTGGTGCTCGGGAAGCACAAACACGAGAGAGCCAGGCAGGCTTTAGACCAGGAAGAGGGTGTATTGATCATATCTTCACCCTCCGACAGATTCTAGAACATAGGCATTCCTACCGGCGTCCAACAGTCATTATATTTCTTGACCTAAAGGCAGCATTCGACTCTGTCGATCGGGAAGTTCTCTGGAGATGCTTGGCTGTAAAGGGAATTCCAAGAAAATATATTGCACTGATTAAGGCACTCTATTCGTACTCATACAGCCAGGTGAGGGCTTACGGCGAGCTGTCATCTGAACTGATGACGACCAGTGGTGTCCGTCAAGGATGCCCATTATCTCCTTTTCTATTCAACTTCATCATAGATGTGTTAATGGACTTAACCCTAGGTGACTTCAGCGACTCAGGGATTGACTTGCTACCAGGGAATAATCTCGTTGACTTGGAATATGCAGACGATATAGTCCTTCTAGGCGAAGACGCTGACGAAATGCAGAGTCTTCTAAACACCTTGAGCCGCAATCTACGAATGTTTGGCATGCGATTCGCTCCCGCCAAATGCAAGATGATGTTACAGGACTGGACTACATCGACGCCTAGTTTAAAAATAGGAAGTGAAGTGGTAGAGCACGTTGACCGCTTCACTTATTTGGGAAGTACCATCAGCCCCAACGGGCTGATCTCTGACGAAATCTCAGCACGAATACAAGGGGCTCGTTTCGCATTTGTTAGTTTACGCCGACTCTGGCGTAGACGAGATGTTCGACTATCGACCAAAGGGCGGGTGTACTGCTCATCAGTCCGCTCCGTCCTCCTTTATGGTTGTGAGACCTGGCCACTGAGAGTGGAAGACATGAAAAGACTAGCTGTCTTTGATCATAGGTGCCTGCGTTCTATTTCCCGTGTAAAGTGGCATAATAAGGTGAGCAACATGGAGGTTAGGCGTAGAGTTCTAGGTAAACAGGGGAAATCAATCGACGAAGTCGTGAAGCTACAAAGACTGAGATGGTTAGGACATGTGTTACGTATGCCAAGTCATCGCCTCCCTCGACGAGCTATGTTAGCGGATATAGGGTCAGGCTGGAAAAAAGCTAGCGGCGGTCAAACAAAAACTTGGCATCAGTCAATGAAATCCACAACAGTTGGTCTAAGCCACGTAGAAAGGTGTAGACTTCCAGGCTGGGGTCCTCGGGACGGTAAAAATCTATGGTTGGAAACAATTGGTGACATGGCTCAAAATCGTTCTCAGTGGCGCAGATGCATCCACTCCCTGTGACTTATGATCTTCAATGAAACTGTTTTGTATTTCTTTATTACTCCTTTGTCTCACACCTCTGCTCACTGTTTCTATTATGCTTTTCTTGTACTTTCTTCTCTTGCTTCGCGTGCTACACGGAATGTGGCGACTTGAACTTCCGCACATTTGTGCAAAGTTCTATGTCGAAAACAGACAGACAGACAGGCTCGGGCCGGAAAGAATCACCGACAAGAAACTATAGGAACCACAAAACAAGAACCAATCGCCAACCAAAAAATATGCAGGAGAAAGTGGAGATGGATTGGACACTCGCTGAGTGAATAGGCCGCTGGGTGACATCGCGCGCGCGTCAGGCCATTGCTCGAATGGAACCCGAAAGGGAAGCGACGAGTGGGACGTCAGTGCAAGGGTGACATGGAGGAGATGGTGTGAAGAGACGGGAGTTGAAAGAGTATGGACTAACATGGATGCAGGTGAAAAGTACAGTAGAAGACAGAAGCAAGTGGAGACGTGCAGTTGAAGCCCTATGTTCCACTAGGAACCCAAGGGAGCAATAACAATAATAATAAGCTTCAAAGAAGTTGCTAGCAGATGACGACAAAAATACCTTTTAAGGTTAATATTTAATGATAACTAAAATAAGATGATTTCGTGTAGAAAGGATTTTATTCAATCTTCTAAAATCAATAGCTGAAAGTTTAAAGAAGTTCACTAATATTAGGAATAATATCAGTAGGATAAAATCTACCGACTAATCACCTTACCCTAATAGTTAAGAATAATTATAACCTTATGTTTTCATTTATCCAAAGTCTATATTCTTTTTTGTTATGCCCACTTGGCCTTCAACTAGACTAGTTAGTTTTACTTCTCCTATGTCAGAGTCTTTAAGCATCTAGTAGGACAGACAAATGAAAAAAAAAGAAAAATCACAACATCAGGCCTAAGGGAATTCAGTACCAATGTAAGTTGTTACGACTCATAATTTGGGAGAAGTCAATGTGGACAAAGATGTTTTTTTATAAAAAAATAGTGCAGCCAGAAGCTGCATAAAAGCCAAAAACAAGCATAAGTCATCGATACAACAAATAACATTAAATACCATAGAGAGGTGACAATTGTTCAAGCGATATAAAAAATTTATCTACAATAACTTCTTCACCATTTACTATCAATATTTATGAGCCTATTGAATTAAGTCACAGAGAAAGGTTGTCTGTAAACAAATACAACTCTACTGTTCACTTATTAACCTAGAATCACACTTTCTCATGAAAGCTAATCCCTTCAAGTTACATATACGATAAACCTACACCGTTTAATAATGTGGCGTGAAACAACTGTGTTTCATCTCAGAAGTACTAAATTTTACACTTCAAAAAAGCATACATCCACATTAATACAATAATGATAAGAATAAGTAAATATCCTATATCATACTTCCATAGGGACTTTGGAATTAGCGAAGTGCTTTAATAAATATCAAAATTATTGTAAAACATCATTTTAGTGCATGGTTATATTAACGAATGCATTATGCAAGGTAATACAACAACAGTGTGAGGATATAAATAAAGGGGAAGACCCAAGTAACAAGTTACATGGAAATAAAGCCGGAAAAAAAAAGACAAATAATCAGTTCTTTGCAAACAGACAGACGCAAGTTAAGCTTGAAAGGTTAAGTAGTTTCATATGTGACAATCTAGGGTGAACTCCTATACACTCGTTGCAACTCAGGTAAAGACAAATATGAAGGAAAATGAAAAATTCAGAAAATACACACCATAACAAAACCAGTGAAAAAACTCAAGGCAAGGTAAGAAACAAGTTCTAATACAATTGAGATAATGATAAAGTAGATATTTATTTGCGTTACAAAGTATGATTCTTGAACATATCATTCACAGTCTTTAAACAACAATTTTAATGGTTTGTTGGGCGCCAGTCATACAACTTACACGATTCACATGAACAGTCAATAACTTTATAATTCCGGTCTGCTTTGTGCGTCAGTGGCACAGTGGTTAGTATGCTAGCCGAGCATGCACATGGCCCGGGGTTCGATCCCTGGCCGACGCACTCCTTTACCTCACTTAGCCAGAAATAATCCTGGTAAAGAGGAAGGTTGGGCATGAGGCTAACAACCCCATCCTGTAAAAATAAACACTGCTACCGAAACCTCAAGCTTCCAACTTGAAGCCCTATGTTCCATTGGGAACGTGAAGGAAAAAAAAAGCTTCATTACCTACCTGTGGTAGACAGTGTTTCAACACAACATGCCCTAATTGACAAAAAAGATTAGTGCTCACAACATAAAATTACTCCTAACTTCTATAAAAAACTTATACGCTTAAACTAAGCATTGCTGGTAGAGGTTGTGTAAAACAAGACTGCATATTAACATCATCTATCAGGTTAAAGTGCATCGAAAATCCTTTTTGAGATAGTCGTGTAGTCACATTCTAAACCAACCATCTCCGTATACTTTCAAGCCCATGTCAGCAGCTGATCTTTTATATGGAAGGCAATCCAACGGTAGACACTAAAGATATGTCTGACTTGCTGAGTCAAAAAAATCATCCCAATTTTGATACCCACATTAAAATAATAAAAAAACATCTTGGGGTTGATAAAACCTGACTAACTAAAGTAGAAATTCACAACCAGACTTTCAATAAAGGCACTGAAAGACAGGTGCAACTTTAAAAAGTACCACAGAGAACGGAGTCCTTTGAAAGGACCTACCCAACACTTTTGCGTGAGCTGTTGAATAAGTTTGCTAATACATTAGGAGACAAAACTTTTAGTAAACTGATAGCCACACGTTACAGCTATAACAAAGTGCCTGATAAACATCACATAATGAGAATGATACCATTACGTAACACCATAAAAAGTATAGGCAGATGCTGTTAACTCATCATTCGGATTTGAGTTTTTCTTTTACAACTTACCAACAATACGAGCTTTTTTCTCATCTTCTGAAAGCTTAAATACATCGTCTTGTTCTCCAGAATCATCAAAAAAATATGTTTCCACATCTAGTACTAGTTTCTCTACAAATGGCACCTTATAAATTGTTCTAGTATAGGGATAGGCGTTCCAAGCCTCTTCTTCTACGCGTAACGCAGACGACGGTAATATATTACGAATCCACGCTGAAATTAAAGTACACAACATGCAATGAAGATAATCAAAATTTACCGAATTCATATTTATTTAGTTAAAATACACTGTGTACCTCTAAGTTACGCTATCTAATTTGTCAAATATGCAGATGATCTGACTGTATCACTGCCTATCACTTCCGAGTCTGACAGCTCCAAACTTAATAGCTTTCTGTTGGACATCAACAACTGGTCCAAGTCAAATGGTCTTATATTAAATCCTTCCAAATGTCAGGTGCTTGACTTTACTTTCAAGCATCGACGTGACTTACTTGAACTAGTTAACTCTCATGATCCCTGTAGCATAGATGGCACGGAAATTGAAACCAAATCAAGTATTAAATACCTTGGACTAGTTTTTTCCTCTGACCTTTCATGGTCATCCCATATCTTATCTATCTCTAAGAAAATGTTTCGTCTTACCTTCTACATTAAAAAGTTAAGACAATCAGGTATCAACCAACCTTTAGTTTTGCAATTTTTAAACTCCTGTATTTTACCTATTGTACTCTACTGCTCTCCATTAATCTTTCCTGGGCTGCTCAAAAAAGATTATATCATATTACGAAGAGTATTAAATGCTGTGAGTAGAGCTTGTGGTCTGCCACTGCATGAGCTCGCTAATACTATAGTCGAGAGACATATAAATTCCTGTACGAAATGGGCAAAGGCTATAATGTCAGACCCTCTGAACCCCCTTTATTCACACCTGTCCCCTTGTATCTCATCAGGTAGGACGAGAAGTCAATATAAAAAGATATATGCTCGTACTACTAAGTATAGAAATTCTACAATACCCTATTTAGCGCGTACTTTATGTGACGAAGACTCTGTTAGACGTGAAACTTACAAGTTACTATGTAATTAGCACAGTGAATCGACCCTTTTATCGCTCATCTTTCTGTATTTTATGGTGTTACACTTTCTATCGTTTAAATCGTTACTCTGCTATTTTATATTAGTTGGTATTACTATTATTACTACAATTTTGTACTTTATACATATTTTTCTCCGTATGGCACACAGTATTTTGCTACGTAGCTGCTACAACAATCGTTTTATTACTATTATGTATTGTGTATTTTTAATTTTTTTTTTGTCGTTTTTGGGTAAATTAGATGCAATATTGTACTGAATGCTGAAAATTCCTTGCTGTATCATGAGTACTGTTTTTGGAATAAAGCTATTATTATTATTATTATTATTATTATTATTATTATTATTAATCCTACCGATTCAATAAGTTCTTGAACCGAGAAAAAACTTACGCACAACTGTCACCAATCGAAGCGAGTGACAACTCATTATTCTTTACATACCATTTTCGTTATCATAAGGCTAGTCTATATGCGAACGATGTAATAAAGTAATTACACACTAGATAAAGCACGTACAATCATCTAGAGCGGCTTACAGAACGCTGAACGATCAGTTTTGCCCTGAAGTATACACTATTATGTCACTTGTTTATTCAGTTGGGCGCAAATTCATAAATAAACGAAGAGAATAGGTTAAGCATAAAATGTAATCAACTTACTACCACACAAAATTGTGTAAATGCCATGACATCTTAGACATGAGAATCAACAGCTCTATAGGTAAGTGTACTTTTCATTCTTACATACTAATAAAATCCTCCAAGGAAATATCACTGTTACTTAAAACTCAGAGTTCCGTCAAAGGTAATCAATTCAGCAGAAACGTAAAATTTATAACATAAAACGTTCAGAGGTTCAGTTATAACTCATATTCCATATAGCTTATATTTCAAAAAGAAATTACGAAAACCAAAATAATATTGGAAATTAAAAGTAACAATATAAAACTAGACTAAAGTGCGTTGGTGGCGCAGCGGTTAGGACTCTCGCCGACCATGAAAATGGTCGCAGGTTCAATCCCCTGCCGACGTACACCCGATATCAATGGACGGCCTGAAAAATTTGGGCTACCGATATCACATGATGAAAATTCCATTTTTGTATCGAAACTACGATGTGGAATCAAGCTATAATCAAAAAATAAAATAATTGTATTTAAAAATGAACTTTCTTAACAACAGGATAAGGTATAAAGCTTACCTGGTAAGTGGCTGCCAACATGATAGATTTTGAATGTATATTGACCTTTTCCACCAGGTCCATCTTCATAAGGTTCATTTTTTAGTATCTCAACACCACTTCCACGACCTGTACTCTCTTCACGAGACTTTTTCTACGTAAAACAAAAACGATTCAAAAGAGTATTTTTTTTGGAGTGCTGAATTAAGAAAATCACACTACGCAGTAGTGTTAGAATGATCAACGTAAAACGAGAGATTCACTTATTTTGGATGATTTTCATCAAAACGTTGGTTTTGGAATGAGAGGCAAATCAAGCATTTTACCCAAAAACTTACCAATGAATGGTTATTTACCACTGAAATTTCGATGACCACAAACAAGATTAATTACTCATCAAATAATCCCAAAGCTTATTAAAAGGCAAGTATGCCACAACGGGATTTTTCCATCCCACTTTATGGTTGAGGAAAATATTCACGACCATCGCGCTACACATGGGTCCAAGACAACGTTAACACGACAGAAGCACAAAATTTGTCAACATTAAGCAGTGAATAACGGGCAAGAAAGGCATATAAACGAACGATTGTTAACTTTCATCAACTGTAGTGTTTGACACATTTTACATTTATTAAACCACAGTGTAAACTTTAATATTTATATAGACGCTAGAGAGAGATTTCACAATACAAAAGCAGGTGAACTGCAAACTAACAAAAAGCCTTCGTAACCAACGTGAACAGTGGTGGGTGACAAGAGCGAAAGAGATGGAAAAGGCATCGGTGATTGGTAACACCAGACAACTACTTAGGCTTATCAGGGAAACAGGTGGTAAAAGGCAAATGATAAGTGAAACAATCTCGGAGAAAATTGGCACCATAATTAGCTCCCAGGATAGACGACTGGAACGCTGGAAAGAGCACTATGAGGAGCAGTTTAATTGGTCTACAGCCACACTCAACCTGCCGAACGTCCAACACCTCCCTGAATGGGATATAGACACAGGTCCTCCATCCCTAACTGAGGTTTCTAAAGCTGTCACTAGTCTGAAACAAGGCAAAGCAGCAGGACCTGATGGAATGACTCCAGGGGTATTTAAGTACGGTGGAAACAGTTTACTGTCTGCATTAACTGAGGTACTAGGCAGCGTCTGGGAATCAGAAGGAGTCCTGTCGGGTTGGTGTAAGTCACTGATTATCCCCATATACAAGAAGGGAGACAAGTCTTCCTGTGATAATCACAGAGGGATTAGTTTGACCAATATGATATCTAAAGTCCTAGGGTCAATAATATTGCGTAGACTAGGTGGTGCTCAGGAGGCACACACACGAGAGAGCGAGGTAAGCTTTAGACCAGGAAGAGGGTGTATTGATCATATCTTCACCCTCCGACAGATTCTAGAACATACGCATTCCTACCGGCGTCCAACAGTCATTATATTTCTTGACCTAAAGGCGGAATTCGATTCTGTCGACCGAGAGGTTCTCTGGCAATGCTTGGCTGTAAAGAGAATGTCGAGAAAATACATTGCACTGATCAAGGCACTCACTCTACTGGAACTCATGCAGCCAGGTGAGGGCTTACGGTGAGTTGTCATCTGAAGTAGTGACAACTAGTGGTATCCGTCAGGGATGCCCATTATCCCCATTTCTATTCAATTTCATCATAGATGTACTCACTTCAGAGACTCGGGGATTGGCTTGCTACCACGGAATAATCTCGTTGACTTAGAATATGCAGATAATATAGTCCTCCTACCTGGGTGAAGACTCTGAAAAAATGCAGAGTCTTCTGAACACCTTGAGCTGCAATCTACGAGTGTTCGGCATGCGATTCGCTCCCCCCAAATGTAAGATGATGTTACAGGACTGGACTACACTGATTCCTAGTTTAGAAATACGGAATGAAGTGGTAGAGCACGTTGACCGCTTCATTTATTTGGGAAGTTGCATCAGCTCCAACGGGTTGATTGCTGACGAAAACTCAGCACGGATACAGAAAGCTCATTTCGCATATACCAGTTTACATCGTCTCTGGCGTAGACGTGTTATCTGGCTATCGACCAAAGGGTGTGTGGTACTGCTCAGCAGTCCACTCTGCCCTCTTTTATGGCTATGAGACATGGTAATTCAAAAGGGAAGATATGAAGAGGCTAGCTGTCTTTGACCATAGGTGCCTGAGTTCTATCTTTCGTGTGTAGTGGTATAATAGGGCGAGCAATACTGAGGTCAGGTATCGAGTGCTAGGTAAGGAGGGGAAATCAATTGACGAGATTGTGAAGTTACATCGATTTGAGATAGTTAGGACATGTGTCACGCATGTCTAGCCATCACCTACCCAGGCAATAGGGAATGCTAGCTGACTTAGAATGGATCAGGTTGGAACAGAACCAGCGGTGGTCAAACCAAAACATGACCTCATCAGTCAATGAAATCCACAACAGTTAGTTTAAGCCAGCCAGTCACGTAGGGAGGCGTTTACTTCCTGACTGGTTGGGGTCCCCGGGATGGTAAAAACCAATGAAGGCTGGAGACAATTGGTGATATGGCTAAAAATCATTCTCAACGGCTGGCGCATATCCATTCACTCTTTATGATATATGAAATCCAGTAAAACTTTAATTTTCTCTCATATTACTACCCTCTTTGCCTCATTTCTGTATATTATCTCTGTTTTGAATCTCTTTTTACTGTCTTCTCTTTCTTTGTGTGCTACATGGAGGGAGTGTGGCAACTCGAACTCCTGCACATCGGTACAAAGTCCTACGTTGAAACCAGTCAGTCGGTCATACTGAAGTGTAGAGGGACAAACTAAATACAAGGATGATGGGTGGACAGTCACAAAATTTCGAAATTGATAAAATAAAGTCATATTTAAGGTTAGGATTCAAAGCCAAGCAGCTTCTTTCGTTAGGTACACCAAGTCATAAATATTGTCACAAGTACTGAATAATTAGTGAATGCAAATACCACTTCATACGCACAAGGAAACTTTGTGCTACAGTGGAGCTGGTTATACAGAAAGAAACGAAATTATAGAAATTTCTTAGAATGGCTCTGAATAAAGATTTTAACAAGTAAAAAACCAACAATGAGAGAAAGCCTACCTGAATCATATACAACTGAGCTATTCTATATTCAGCAACTGTTAGAGGCATACATATGCGATACTCTTTGAGAAGCATATTTGAAGACTGAAATGCATAAGTAAAGTAGCATAAGAAAAAGCATGGGGTATTAAGAAAAGCCAAAATGAATAGTTATTATGGAATATGCATCACACCAAAATCTTTATTCTTCATTTTCTGCATTTGTTCTACATGCTATGGTAAGAGTGACTTTTTTATGCGTGAACTCCTAGAAACTCAACATAGACGAAAATACCAAGTGGACAATAAACAAATTCAATAAAAAACATGGAATCACTTGGCATAAATATCACAATAACTAATTACGAAGTAAGTCCTCACCACTACCCTGCTACGACGCCTATTATATTTAATGTCAATGATGATCATCAAAACACCGCATAAGATAGTAAAACATTTTCACTCCACACGTGGACTTACATTCTCATGCTTGCCACTAAGTGAAATAGACGCCTACACTACTATTCTCATCAGATCCTGGAACACAGACACTATTCCTCTAACACTAAGATTACTCAACCATCCTAGACGAGCCCTCCCTAGCCAATCCCATGATTAGCGTCGAGCATTCACACTCTTTCTCTGGCTTCTGAAGGGACAATCCTCATCATGTGAACATAGTGAGCAGAACTTAGCTAATTAGTTGCTTAGCTGAAATGAGCACGATAAAGGTGCTCCTTGTATTAGACACAATAATCTCTGAAACAAAAATCACCAATTAATTCTTCCCACGAATACAGAGGACTCCATTAGTGCTTACCTGTTTTCACCACATATTTTGTAAATATACCTGACCATCTATCAGAAATTAAATATGTTCCACACTAGTTCGCCTCATCTCACCCTGTCACTGCAAAACGTCCTAATGTAGTAGGATACCTGATAAAGTTGCGAGGATTTAAACAAGTTTCCTCATGTACTCTGATAGTGAAGGAGGCTGACTGTTAGGATTAGGCGTAATTCTGAGCACGGAAACCAAGTCAGATGATGAGGATTTCAGTCTGGATTTCACGTGCGCTAGTAGCTGTAACAGAACTGAATTAAAAGAACCCTGTGTTTGCCACCCCGAGGTTTAGGATCAAAAGAAGAAGTCACTACCGGTTGTCCTAAGCAATGTGCAAAATATGGATTGCGTAACCGCAACCTAAGAAATACTAGAAGCTAGTGATTCGGGTCTCAAAGCAACATGATACGAATAGGACATAAGTAGTCTCCAATTATTCATTAATGACCTCTTTCGAATTGCTAAACTGTAATAAGACTTTTATAAAAGGGATAGTTAGTGATATATATAACAAACTAATGGCGGTATACATGAATTTACCTTCCGTTATTTCTGAAATTCTCAATATTCTGAATTTTTTGTTTACTTTCTTAACAGCTTTAGCGTTTATTCTCTGATTTTATCTACTATATTAATTTCTCCCAGTGTTGCATTGAAGTGAAACAACTTGAATCGTTGTACCTATCGAAAAAGTTCTAATTCTTGTATGTACGATCACATATATGTTTCCTGTCCTAAATCATAAACAAAAAGCAAAATAATAACAATTGACACCCTGAAGATACTGAGATGAAAATATAAGAAAAGCCAAAAGATACAGACAGCTTTCCAATAAGTTGACAGTACACGGGAAATTTTAAAAATAAACCATCAAAACAATGAGTCTGAACTGACGACTGATTTCGAAACGAAAGGAAATCCTGACTAACTGCTCTTAATGAAGCAGAAAGTTAAATCGTTTAGCTTCTGTTACATGCCAGATAGCCAAAAAGTACATTAATAAAAATAATGCGACTCCTACCGACTACAGATTCCATCCCTTAAATTCAGTCAAATCTGAGCAATGTATAAGTACGGTTTCGCTCAACCATCACAAGCAAAGCTAGGTTTGAAATAGTGGCCCCAAAAGTACAAATCCCGAAACAATATTCACGTCTCTGTGTATAACTTAGTTTGGACCACTCAGTATGTTTCATCAATGTCCTGATTAGAACGAATGTTTAGTTATTTACTGCACCTTTATCTTGGTTATCAGGCTTAGTTGAATGAGCTCCTAAATTGCTAACTAAAGGTCAAGTGGCTCGACCACAACTCAACTTTTAAGGAAAGAGCAAATGTAAGGTCCTCATACGAACACAAAAGTAATATTAAGAACGTGTAACGGTCGATAGTGAATACGAATGAATAATACAGCAAGTTTAGAAAGGATGAATAGCTATCACACGTATATTATTCCAAAACTGTATGCTTATTTAAGACCATGTAGGTTTTACACAGAAGCATACCAGTGTGACTCCTCGAACAGTGTAATGAAGTCAACTGGTTATTTTAACTATGAATAATATCCACCCAGATGATGCAACTGAATTCCTAAATTAAAATTTTCCGTAAACTGAACTACAATTCCCTCTACCTTAGAAATACAGAAGGCTCTAATGTTTTCATGCGATAAATAAACTTGATTCATTTATCAGTAGCTGAGAATGTGATTAATGTTACGTTGAGTTCATGTAGGTGGAAAAAGCTAAATTTAGGTGTACGATAATGCTTTTCGAATTTTATTTAGATTCCATATCACAGTGTCTACGAAATGGCATTCCTCTTCAGTAAGTTTATAACGCTTATTGTGAAATCAAGCTCCCCATTGTAGTTACCAACACAAATCGCCCCTTAAACCATAAGTCAAATGCCGATTTCTCCTACCTGTTACTAACAATTCGCATCCCAAGCTTAAAGTGTATATACAGAAATATCTTTATAATCAACCCGGCTTCAAGCTATGACACTGATTGTGACCCTGGTATTAGATTGAGATATTACCAAAGACCTCATGTGTTGGGAATGAAACAAGCAATTGTTCCGGCATTCAATAGTTGGTTATTCGTCTTACTGTTTAGTAAGGTATGACCCGGTTCAGATACGTTGTCAGGTACTTATGATGTCATCAAAACCACCAAGTTTATTTTAATACCAAGACCTGCTTTCTGATGTAAGCATTTCCATATACGTGATCTGACTTCTGCAACTTAAGCTGTCAATGAGGTTATGCTTGTTACTAACCCAAAAGAAAATTGGTTAAGTCCTGTTTCACACATCTGTATGGATTGTAGTAAATATTTCCCTATTGGGCATCTTTACCTAATGTTATCTTCGATATGTTCTAGTTTTTTTTTTTTTTTTTTTTTTTTATTTACAGCTTGATTTCACACCGTATTTTTGGTACAAGTATGGAATTTTCAGCATGGATATCGGTAGCCCGACTACATTGCTCGAATCCAGTGCAACCAAGGCATGTTTCACGCAAATTAGGAATGCCTGTGTATAATTTGACCTAAATGCACCCTTTCACTAAATTATTGAGTCTCTAAAGAACCAAGATGGTAGCAGTTCATCGTTAATCCTGGACATAATTTACAGATGAACAGGTAGTTAAACATCGAGAGATTTCCGAATATATCAAGTCAAAATGTAACACACCGCTAATTTGATAACGACGCAGCATAGTCAGTTCTTCAAGAATTAAAAGCTACAGAATAAACCCAAGCTCTTGGCACCTGACTTTCTAAATTATGATTAAATGTCAATCGGAATGTTCCAGTGGCAAGAATCATAGTTCTGGATTTTTAGAATCAAAGTTGTACAGCAGTCCGTTGGTCCTTGTCAGTAAGCAACAATATATGACCACAGAAATTTTCCTGAGACTCTTAGAGCCAAGAGCCTTAAAATATGAGATGTTTAGGATTTAACTGCTAATCCAAGCGTAATCTTTTATAACAATCCACAGGTAGAACAAAACAGTAGTATCCTTAGTAAATGAATAAGCAGTACAGATGCCACTTCTGACGAAAATGGACGACCATAATATGTCTCAGTTTGGATGGAAGGACGACATCTTTGACCAATGGTAAAAAAATGTAGTGAACCTACCAACACAAAAATTAACGATAATCTCGGCTCTGTCTATTTATCTCTAAGAACAAAGTGCGATTATTGTGTTACTTCACGATTTCTTAATCCAAATTGCTACACCCGAAGTGGTTTTAAGGCAACGGTTCTTGCTACCTAGCTAGTGATAGTACTAAAAGTAACTAAAAGTAACAAAAGTAACTTTCAAAATTATTCAAGAGAGAACCAGACTGACTCTTTGGCCATTATTCTGGCATGTTGTACACAAAATGCTATAAAAGTATTCAATACCACCCTAGATAGTATGTCAAAAAATTCAGTGTTCTGAATAGACAGCTTGCAAAATATTCTTCAAGAATCCCGAAAGCTTGTGGTCTGAGTGATCATTAATAAATTCGAGTATTTATTCAAAATAACATGGTATTTTCTGAACGTCTCTCTACAACATTCTGCTAACCGAATACAAAAAACAAACGAAAATCCACCAAGAAAATACTTTGCAGATATAAGAAAATTTCGAAATGATCCCGAAAGTGACCTTCACAGATGTTCATGCAAAGCCAAATGTCAATATACAGTAGACAAGATTATGAGAAGCTACCGATACTTTACTGATAATCTCCTGATTTTGTAGGAACACTCAATAGAATTTACTAAATTACATCCAGCAGACCTAACTATTAACTTCCTAGTCATAGTATGTAGTTGCGAAGCTCTCCAGGAAAATTAGGTCGGAATCTGCCACACACCATTAGCAATACAAGGTTGACTGAGATCGGTGGAGACGGCACCGATGGGATGCTAGTTGAAAGTCATCACATCTGGATCCTTACTTGTCGAAAACCTCTAGGTAGCAGTGATCATGTGGTCACGGTATTTGATCTGGTTCTTTGCCATCGGAGGCTACGCACCCCCGTCTGTGCTGTTGCGAAGCCGACTGCACAGAAATACTGAGTGTTTTGTCCAACAGACAACGGCCTACATACTGAGCTGAACCATCAATACAGTAACACTGTGAAATGACGAAATTTATTATCACACGGCAATCTCAGATACTGTCCTCATAGTCACACTAAAACCCAATAAACGATCCTTATTTCTGAAGAGCAGCACGCAGCGTATTCTGTAGGCAAAGTGGAAAGCTTGGTTTCCATGGCGACCCTTAAGAAGTGTGAGCTACAATGAGGCATACCTAGGGACTCAGGAACCAATACAACACGAGGGTCAGGAGTGAGAGTAGGTCTTTTGAGGTCAATTTTTCATATAAACTGGCAAGCCGCAAAAGCCTGTACCGATTCACATGAGAACAAAAACCCATCAATCAGAGGGCAAGTGCTTAAGAGGTTCAAGTGGTCAATGTCTCTCTAGTTTTAGAAATGGCTGAAGCACCCATTTTGGCCTTTATCAGATAAATTAATACCATTGTGGGTACTACCCCTGTCTGTCTGTTTTCGACATAGAACTTTGCACATATGTGCGGCAGTTCAAGCCGCCGCACTCCACGTAGCGCACAAAGCAAGAGAGGAAAGTAGAAGAAAGGCATAATAGAGGCAGTAAACAGAGGTGCGAGACAAAAGAATAGTAATGACGAAGAACAATATAGTTTCATTGGAAATCATAAGTCACAAGGAGTGGATGCATCTGCGTTAGCCATTTAGAACGATTTTGAGCCATATCACCAATTGTTTCTAGCCATTGGTTTTTACCGTCCCGAGGACCCCAATCAGGAAGCCAGTCTACACCTTCCTACGTGACTGACTTAAATTAACTGTTGTAGATTTCATTAGCTGTTGCCATGTTTTTGTTTGACCAGCGCTGGCTCTTTACCAGCCTGACCCCATGTCTGCTAACATTGCCCATCGGCGAGGAAGGCGATGTCTAGGTACTACCACCACAAATCATAGCGATTCCACTGCCAACTTACGAGGAGAAAACTTGGTGAGTATACTTCAAATTAACCCCACAGTGGTACTAGGGGAGCTACAAAAAATCACCTCTGGAAAGTCCTAAGGTTGTGACAACATTAGGCCGTCGGTCCTCAAACAGTGCACTGAAGCCTTTTTCACACTCTTGTGTGATATGTCGCGACATGACACGGATTCACGTAATCTGCTAAAAGAGTGGAAGAGGGCCATCTTTCCTCCTGTCTTCAAGTGTGGAGATCGGCAAAACGCACTG